CTTATTTCAACTTCTCAATGCGTGCCATACATCTGTCCCCACTACACCCAAATCCATTTATGTAAAATCGTGTGTGGCTATTTTGTCATTATTCTTTACACTGTGCACAGCCAAAAATGGGTAAACTGAACCTATCACTTACACTGCAACTACTATTTGTCTGCCACACATCTAAATATCTTCCCACCCTTCGATCATTCCAAGCAATCTAATTTTTCCTTTTTTTTTTCCTTGCAGTGTGCAGTAGCTGAAGTGAGCGATCTGTCCTAAATTTATCAATCATTTGACAGACACAGAACAATTTTAGGCTGGCAAACATCAAACTTACACAACTATAAAACACCAACAACTGTCTGTGTCTCCTGGATAGCATGTGGTATTCACTAAGCAGACTGACAATAACCATGGCAAACTTTAAAAAAAGAAAAGCACATAAAACAGATAGTAAGCATTAAAATATAAAGCAAATGAAACACGGCTCAACAATGTAATCCACACAAAGTTACTGACTGGGGAAAAGAAGTAGGGAAAAAATGGACTATAATAATAACAATTAACAAAACTCAGAGGTATTTTATTTCAGATCAATATAAATTGAAGTTTATAAATGCAAAAGCTGCTTTGAAATGAATAAAAGAAAAAAGTGACAGAAAGCTAGGGTCAATATAGTTTATGTTGTCTAGTGTTGCCTCCTGCTTCTATTTGTTCTCCTGCATTTATGACTGCCATTCAGAATATGACAATTTGCTTATGAAACTAGCTGAGCTATCAGTAACCTGGAAAAACTGTTAACTGTCGAAGAGAGACACAAACTTGAGAAGCATGGCAAACAAACTATCCACAGGAATTCACATCTTTTACATCTCATTCAAACTAAATCACCCCCCCCCCCCCCACCAGGGGTGGGGGGGGGTGTGCTGGGGGTCATGATCCTGTTATAATTCCACAAGAAATAAATTTTTTTTTTTTTAATCACTCAGGATACTAACAAATTCGTTAACAATTTATTTACCTTGTTTCTGTAAACATATGAAAGTCAGTCACCAATAAACACCAACAGGGCAAAGCATTCAATGGAATCCATTCCCTGGGGCCTAAACAAAAGGTGAATTATGCCATAAACTCTTGACCTTTATCACTGGGGCTTACAGAAAAAATCTGATGTTAACTTGGCTATAAAAAAAAACTATTTGGTCTAAAGGAACACTAATCTAAATCCTATATTAGGTAATGTATTCATATCCTGACCTCCTAAATGGTTGTGCAGCCACATAAACAGCTAATAACATAAACTGTGTGTCTCATAAACAGGCCACTAGTGGCAAGTCAGAAAAGTAACATTTATGGGAAATTGGACCCAAGTGTAGGTTTAGCAGCTTCTCTCTGTTAAAGGACAAAAGGGAGGAAATTCCTAATACTGTAGACTAATACAGTTATCAGAATAAAGTGGCTAATCAATAAAGTAGAGGGGGGGAGGAGAGAGAGAGGAATAACACTTTTAACCCAGCACAGCTTCCAATGTGATGATGTAAAATGCCTGTACACTATAAATAATATAACTAAGTAGCACCTCTTGTTTAGTCAGTGTTGCCAGAAATCTGTCAAAAAGGTGAACAATATACTGACTTCCTTAGTAATCAATGTCTGCTATTCCTCATTCTACAGCCCTCAAACTACCACAATCCAATACAGGTCATAACGAGAACAGTGTGTTCAGGTCTTCAGTGATGCCAAAGCTTATCCTGTAGGGATGCTTCTGTGAGCCAGATTTCTTCTCTCTGCCCGGCAAAGTCTGGGAAAGACTAAGTTGTGAGCCAGATTTCTTCTCTCTGCCCGGAAGTCTGGGAAAGACTGTAAGACAAACACTGGAGTTTGCTTTGGTGAGCCACAACCACATGCAGCAACACCCATTTGATGTAGATGTGCTCGGAGATTACAGTGCCCCAGTCGAAGCCTTAAAATTTCAGTCTGGGCATTTCTGCCCTGCCTCTTTATACTGTGGGGAGTCGCCGTGGTCTAGCAGCTAGACGCTCGCCTGAGGATCGGAAAGTCATAGGTTTGCTCCATACTTTTTTAAAATGACCTTGGCTCCCAGGTCTACCCAGCCTTGAGTGGGTACCGGGTAGAGTCCTAGGAAGCAAAGGCAGCTGACGTGATGCTGACCACATCACCCATCTTGTGCCATTGGTCTATAAAATATAGGTCTAGCCCTATAAACCCAATACGCCTAAAAGGCGTGGAAAGGGATCCTTTACTTCTACTCTTTACACTGTGTTGTTCTAAAATTTGTATTCTCCTGACAAGTCACTAAATCAGATACTCCAAATTTCACTTATTTCTTCCTATACCTGTTAAATAGGTGGGGGGGGGGGGGGAGGAGAGAGAGAGAGAGAGAGAGGAGAGAAGAGGAATGAGTAAGCCAAAGATATAAGTGTTGTACCATTCTGTTGACAGTGGCCATAAAACAGAGCTGTCAGTGTAAACTGAGCAACTCGAATCAAGCCAATTATACATGGCCACTCAAGTACAGATACGACGGACTAGGCCAACAAGTAATCTTCTCTTTCAGTACTCCAGACCCTTGAGGCTCATTGCTGCAGATATCATACATTTCTAACTTGCCTTCTCTTTCCAGTTGGTGACTCCAAGTGTTTGTAGGTCTGCCTGTACATTTGTCTCTTTACCGTCTTCTTGCCTGCCACATTGGCTACTCCCATGCAACTCTTTTGTGTGTGTCTCTCTGTCATCCACTATTCTCTTTATACGCCCTAATGCAGTCTATTAACCCCCATGACGCCAGTAAACAACAGTGATTTAAAAGTAACTGCCAACCCACCCTGCCATTGGTATTTTCTTATGGGCTCTGTCAGACCATCTACTCATTTTGTCGGCTCAGATGCAGTATCTTTCTCTTATATACTTCCCTTTAACTGTTTGCCCCAGAACAATCTTCAACAAGCTATTTTTATATGTCTAGTGTCTATTGTCTTTTTTTTTCCTAAGCCAATTCAGTAATTTAAAAATCAATCTGTTTGTAATAAATGGCTATTTTGTTCTCCTATCACATTCCTCCCTCCCAACTGCCTGCATAGATTATGATGCTAACCATACATTGTTTATTCTCTGCCTGGACTTTTACATAACTAGGCACCTGACTAACATCAAATAACAGATGTCTCACAGAGACAAGAACAGGACAAGAAAACACAGAATTGTTCCTATTGGAAAGAACAAGAACTCTACCAGGACTCCTAGAGCCAGCAATATCTGATGGCAGTCGATCCTGGACAGACCCAACAAGCAAGACATTTCCATAAGACCTCTAATTATGGCTCTCTCAACAGCTCTAAATGTGGCACTTCAAATTAAAAGGTTGTGAAAGTGACTAATACATGAAAATAACTAATCACAAACATCAGGAAGCGGCAATGATTATTTTTTGGCCACAAAGGAACACAGATTTGTGAGAGCTGGAAGGAGAAACAAGAGACAGAAGAGAGAAGGTTTCGGACAGCCTTTTGGAAATCAGCATGCAAGCACATGAACTGAGAAATGATTGAGAACGCAAGATGAGATGGAAACAAACTCTAATTTTTGTCAGCAGACAAGGCACTTCAGGATTCTGATGTTCCACAGGAACAAATAAATCTGGTTGTTATACAGAAGCAGGAGTTACAATCGAGGCATCAGGACCTCAACATTTTACTCTACTGACCTCATGATGCTACCATACTAATCTCAATGTGCCACAATCATGACTTTAACATGCCACAATCATGACCCCAAGATGCCACCATACTGATCTCAGGGTGCCACAATCATGACCTTAACATGCCACAATCATTACCCCAAGATGCCACCATACTGATCAAGATGCCACAATTATGACCTTAACATGCCACAATCATGACCCCAAGATGCCACCATACTGATCTCAAGGTGCCACAATCATGACCTCAAGGTGCCACAATTGTGATCCAAAGATGTTAAATTATTACTACAAGATGGTACAATCGTGACCTCAAGATGCCACCATATTGACCTCAACATGCCACAATCATGACCTAAATGTGCCACAATCATAACCCCAAGATGCCACAACTGTGATCCAAAGATGTTACAATTATGACTTTGAGATGCTACAGTCGTGATAAGTAAGAGACTTTATCTGTAGCCTAAAATCTCTGGAATACTGAACAAGCACATACAACAACAAATATAAAAATCATAATAACGTCCACACAATATAAAAATCATAATATCCACAATGAAATATATTTCACAATTAGTTTTTTGAAATGCAAAAATGATTTACCCCAATTTACTACAATCCGCCCACACAGGCTACTGAAAAGTTATGCAGAAGTATTTAATGAGAATAAATCACTTCACTGTGTTTTGATTTCAAACATGGACAAGAATGGTCCCATTCTGTTGTCCCCCCCTTTTTTTAAATGACCCTCAGCCCAAATATTCCGCTGAACAAGGTGAGATGACAATGAGGAAACAATGTACAAGGTCTTGGTTACACAATGATATACAAGGCAACAATTCTCTCACATATAAAAACCTGGCCATCATTACAGGACAGCTAAAACATTCATTCAAACATTCTCAAGCTCACAAACGGCAACATGTCTGTTATCTCTCAAACCAGCGGGACCGATTTCTCTCAAAGTTTCTTTCCGGATGTCGATGCTGACGTTTGTTGTTTCTCAGAACAAGGCAGCCAGTTTTTGTTATTGGGTCCTGATTTACAGTACATGTATCTGACTTTATTCGGTCCTGACATAGCGTACATGTATCTGTCTTTCATGCATTTGATGTTTGAAAACAAAATAATTTCAAGAAGCAACAATGTTACATACATAACCTGTAACACAAGAGATGGAATCTGAGTCTGCAACACATCAAGCATCGATCAACTGGTGTTGAACAAGGATCAACATAAACATCAAACAAGTGAATGCGGGCAGAAGACTAAGCACCTTGGCGTCTCATCAAAACTTGAAGTGCTGGTCGGCCATGTCTATAGCCCATCGGAACTTGTCCCTCTGGGTCTTGTTGTACACCTTCTCCAGGGGTATACCATACTTCTTGCACCTGAGGACCACCACAACAACCAATTTATATCTAATGCAGATTGGTATATTCACTATTGTAAATAAAAAAGGAATTCCATGACATTTTCTATAAATTCTTCTTCCCGTTTATTGGCTGTAAACTTGAAAAAGTTCTGCTTTTTTGTCTACCTCTGGACTTAAACCTTGATCCAGAACCTGAGTGTTGCGTGCACATTCCTTTTACAGATCTGACTTATCTGTATGCAGACTGTTGGTTCTGTGCCTTTCAGGCAGATGCACTCCGACTTTTAAGAAAACCTATTCATGAATTCTATCAAATAAAAGCAAGCATCCCCTCATTTTAGTCGACAGCCAATCAGTCAGGGGCCATCCTCACAATGAAGGCTGGCTGCAATGGTTCAACACCCACTGTCCTCTGGCCTCCATGTATACTAATTCTAACGCTTATTGTATCTCTCTCTGTAGAATAGCTAGCCACCCACCAAGTGTTGCATAACAGATGAACTCAGTAGCTAAACTGAAGATCCCAAGGGATCTCCCTAAAAACGGCACGAATGAACTGAGTTCTGCAGTCGGTGAATGAGGCCACAACCTTCAAAGTGCAAGGCAAACAGCTTGACCACAAAGGCCCCCAGGGTTTTGATAAGTGTGTTTAGACTGCATACTTTACTTGCCTACTTTTCTTTCTTTCTTCTTCTTCGTAGCATTCACCGGCTATAAACATCCGTCTCTCATACCTGGCTTATCTGTAAGCAAACTGTTGGTTCCTTGTCTCTTAGGCAGATGCACTTAAAACAATGAAGGAGCACCCATAATTAGTTCCCCCCCTTCCCACCCCCACACCATACTGGGGAGGGGAAGAAAAGGAGGAGTTTTCCAAAATGGAGCCCTAGAACCCACACAGGGGATGTTTCTGTCAAGAATCCTCTTTTTATTGTCAGTCTCCTTAAAACATGTGTGTGTGGGTGTGTGTGTGTGTGTGGGTGTGTGTGTGTGTGTGTGTGTGTGTGTGTGTGAGAGAGAGAGAGAGAGAGAGAGAGAGAGAGAGAGAGAGAGAGAGAGAGAGAGAGAGAGTCTTTTGTGTCTATGAAAAAGGACCCCCCCCCCATTTTTTGCTGTTGTTTCACTTCTCCATGGCCTCAATTCAAATAACTGCTTACCCACTGGCCAGGTCTATGCACCACAGACAAGGTTCAGAACTATAACACTTGATAATTCTCAATGTTATCTGTCTCTCTAGATGTCAATATTTCTTTTTCAGGTTGTTAAAAATGTCATTTTTCAAAATCATTTTAAAACATATGATGTCAAACCCCCTAAAGTCGCCTTTTACGACATGCTTGTTGGGAAGTCAGTGTGTCTTGTCTTTTTTGTCCAATGTAAAGGGACTCTGGAATCTAAACAGGGAAGTGATGATCATATTATTAGTTACTAGTCACCTAGTAATGATAATCTGTTTAGCCACTTACTAGTTATCATAATTAGTATCATCTAGTATTTATAGACAACAACAAAATTATTATTCAGCACCTAGTAATTTAATAATTAGTATAGGTCGTCTAGTAATGATAATAATAGTTAATGTTAAATCACGAAGTAATGCTAATAATAATTAGTATTAGCCGCCCGGTCAGCTAGACCAGACTGCTTATGAGACTTTTTACAGTACAACATCAGAGAGGAAGGCAAGAGGAAGACCGAGAAAGACACGGATAAATGCTGTAGCTGAAACCTGCAAAAAGTGAACAAATCCATCACTCGAGCCACCTGAAAGCACAAGACAAACAGAAAACCGTGATACTGGGCCACAACCTGGTATCACTGAGACGACAAAGGGGGAAAGAAAGAAGTCAACAGGTAAAAAAAATATTTTTTTAAATTAGATAGTAAATATAATAATCAGTATTGGTCACCCAGTAAAAATATTTTAAATTTGCTTGTAAATATAATAAGTATTAGTCATCTACAAATTATAATGATTATTATTACTACCAATCGCTGAGTAATTAATTATAACAATAATTAATATTAGTCACCTAGTAATGATAATAATTTGTATTACACACCAAGTAAAATAACAAATGAAATTAGTCAACTGGTAAATATAATAACTGTGTTGCTCCCTGGCTTAGAGGCTAGTGAATGCGGTTAACAATTTCATGTTCCTCACGTACTGGGGCTCGGTTCTTGAGGTGGGCGGTTAATAACAATTGCTCTCTTAGTTTTTGGACAATGGCACAGAAGTCGTGCCGCAGAGATCACAATGTGACATTCCCAAAGACAACAGTTGAAATACTGGGCTTGCGTCCAGAAGTCGTGCCGCAGAGATCACAATGTGACATTCCCAAAGACAACAGTAGAAATACTGGGCTTGTGTCCAGAAGTCGTGCCGCAGAGATCACAATGTAACATTCCCAAAGACAACAGTTGAAATACTGGGCTTGGGTCCTCGAGGTGGACGGTTAATACAAATTGCTCTCTTAGTTTTTGGACAAAGGCACAGAAGTCGTGCCGTGGAGAAGAGATCACCATGTGACATTCTCACAGACAACAGTGGAAATGCTGGGCTCAGCACTCGAGGTGGGAGGGTAATAAAAACTGCTCTCTTAGTTCTTGGACAATGGCACTAGTCGCAATATAATAATTATTATTAGTCAAATGTTGTAAAAATAATCAAAGTAATGGAAAAAATGTTTAAGATTAGCTACCTAGTAATAACAATTATTGTTATCGGTCACGTAAAAATAGTTTTTAAACATTCAAAACAATCACCATATCAACTTACCAGGCCACCGAGATTCGTGGATCCAAATAGTTCAGCTTGGATGTCCCCAAAGCGATCTCTTTATTTTCATCCTGTGAATATATTTGATTGTTAATAACATGTTATATTTTTAGTTAGTTAGTTGGATTATCATCATTGCACTCCCGACATGTCCACAGGAGCTCAGATCCTTGCCTAAGTATAAACCCCAGCGTCCGGTGTCTAAGAGTCAGTTCTATGTTGATTAACAAGTTCTCTGAGGTGCCAGGTGTGCATCTCATTTTCTGCTATGCTGATCTTAACTCCCAAGTCTATCATTCTGGCGAGTGACGTGGATTCACTGCTCCTACAGTTCTCCATCCTTCCCTTTTCTCAGACGGCATTAATGATATTAGCATGATCCATATACTTACACAGTACCTATCAATAAAGCAAAGTGCTAGGAAAACATTGAATGTTAAATGTCGAATTAATAATCGACAACATAGCACCAGAGACACCCCCATAAGCGCACCGTCCCCATCTTCAGAAGCAAGCAAAGAGTTGAAATATTTTGATGGTACCAGTAACTGTCTGCCTGTATATCCGTCCCTTCTTTCCCTCGAGCGTTGGCCAGATCCCCTTGTAACTCATCGCAGCGCCTTCTCCTCCATCCGTAATGATCTATCTGTGCCTCGGCACTGTTCACTCGTTCCCAAAGAGTCTTCACAACATCCAGCTTGTCACACATCAGTTCACCACCAAGTGGTGCAAAACCGGCCAGTATATCGGCCTGCTCATTTCCCAACACACCGACATGACCTGGAGAAAATATCCAAATGGATGCTAAATACCCGATACCTTTGAGGTGATGCTTGCCACTCTTCTCGAAGCATGCTGCCTTCGCCTTTCTCAACATACTCTGTGAGTCAGTTACAATTACGGCATGAGTGTACATCTGATTCTCAAGCCATCTGAAGGCAGCAGTGACTGACTCCACCTCCATTCTCATACTAGACATTGGGATATCATATGTAAGGCTTTGTTGTACCAAGCGACGTCCATTTGCCTTCGCTATGAACCCCCATGCACTTCGTCTGCCCCTCAACACAGAGTATAGACAGTCACATCACCTGGGTGGAAATTGTCATCAATCATTTGTTGAACTGATTCTGCAGCGCCAGCTAACAAGTTCCTGCACTTACATCCCAAAGTGATTAGAACCCTACACAAGCCTCAAACCTGATCGGACACTTTGACCCACTACTCTCCTCGCCTAATTTATTAAGCCTGCACACGTGTCCAAACGTGTATTCAGCTTGCATTATCTAAGTCTTTCCTCTTTTTCAGTCTGTGACCTTTAGATCTATCTAGGGCATCATGCAGGAGGTGCCTTTTGTCTGCAGCTACTCTGAGATATGACTGCTGGCAGAACTTTTTCAGCCTATTTGCAATAGTCGGCAGTGCAAGTATTAATACATCCCAGAATTACCCGCAGGGCTTTATTCTGTACGCGTTCAAGTTTCATCAGCTGACTCTTTGATATGGTATGCCTGCCAAGTTCATAATCTATCACTGACAGGATAACATGCTGGAACATTGTGAACAACATTCTTTGTTCCTTTTCCATTACTGCCATTATGGTGAGAGCACTGATCTCATGGCAAATGCCTCCACATGATCCCTGAAGGACAGGATTCTATAGACAAACAGGAAAGATGTTGACTGCAGTGAGGACATAAATGTGTAGTTTGTGCTGCCTTACCTTATCCGTAGCCTGCACCTCCATTCTGGTCAGCCCTTCTTCGAGTCGAGCCAAATGCTTCTTCTTCTTTTCATACAACCTGATGGAGAAGAGGCGGAAAGCATCAGACATCCACCCAGAGTTCAATAAATACATATGCAACAATACAACTGTTCCACATAATCATGTGCCTTGCCGACTGGCACAGCTGATCTTAATGAGAGGGGGAGAGAAGGAAGCGGGTGTGGAACCAGCCTAAAAATGTCTTGGGACATGACACTGATCACAATACCCGCTGAGTGGATATACCATGTACCCAACACAACACCCACTGAGTGGATACACCATGCACCCAAGACAACACCCACTGAGTGGATATACCATGTACCCAACACAACACCCACTGAGTGGATATACCATGCACCCAACACAACACCCACTGAGTGGATATACCACGTACCCAAGACAACACCCACTGAGTGGATACGCCATGTACCCAAAACAACACCAACTGAGTGGATATACCATGTACTCAAGACAACACCCACTGAGTGGATACACAATTCACCCAGTCTGCCTCATAAAGTGGAAACAGATTCTTTTCACCCGACAAATCTTTAAAAACTGCCCTGTCCAAAGTTTTGTTAAAAAAACACCAAAGCTGTGACATACAGACATACTGGGCACTGTCTACAGACATACTGGGCACTGTCTACAGACCTACTGGGCACTGTCTACAGACCTACTGGGCACTGTCTACAGACCTACTGGGCACTGCCTGCAAACCTAATGGGCACTGTCTACAGACATACTGGGCACTGTCTACAGACATACTGGGCACTGTCTACAGACATACTGGGCACTGTCTACAGACCTACTGGGCACTGTCTACAGACCTACTGGGCACTGTCTACAGACCTACTGGGCACTGTCTACAGACCTACTGGGCACTGCCTACAGACATACTGGGCACTGTCTACAGACATACTGGGCACTGTCTACAGACCTACTGGGCACTGTCTACAGACCTACTGGGCACTGTCTACAGACCTACTGGGCACTGTCTACAGACCTACTGGGCACTGTCTACAAACATCATGTCAACCAAAACCCATTAAAGCTGGAAAAAAACAACTTTCTGGAGGTGATTGGGGTCACCAGAGTTTATCTGCATTCTCCTACAGCTAGACAGACAAATGCTGTACCATAAAATAGCAACGGCAAAAATATAAACAGCTTACAACACAAGACATCCTGTAGAACTTAACAATGGAACAAAAATCATCCGGGTTGTGTTACTGGATACAACCATGAAACAGACTCCCCCTAACCATCTGAATAAAGCAGGCCAAGTCACCCTTTATCACTTACACACTGGACATTGCAAACTTAACAAAGACTCCTTTAAATGAGGCGTGAGTCAAACAGCTATCTCCTACACTCTTTGTGCTCAACAGACTCCAGAATATATCTTGCAAGACCCTCTTCTCCTGGAGCAGCTGCACAGCAACAAGTGGCCAAACCTAGAAGCCCTAACAACTAAGCTCTGGAGAAACCTGAGACCTTGAGCTGACATGTGAGTTTATGGCCCACAATGACACAGGTACTGCTGAAGGAATTGACTGCATAAAAATTTAAATCTCAGAAACTGCTGTTGATCAGAGTTCAACGGACCTGTCATGAGAAGGAGGAATTAAAGTATGTCAAGCAGCAGCTAGGAGAATACATCCTGGCAAGGATGGATATATCTATCAAATTAGGATTACTGGCACTACACTTACTGATGTTAATTTCCCTGTAAAGAATCAAGGCTGTCTGGGCAACCCATCATCTCTACAATACTACCCAAGCTTTGTGTTACAGGGCAGGGGCAAAGAATCTCTTTCCCCTGTCTTCACCTGTCCATCCTCAGGGGCTCTGGTTTCCCCTGCCTCCCTGTAGCACTAAGCAAAACTACTGTATGGAAAGAAAGGTGTTGGTATCTGTGGCTCAGGGGATGTGAACATGCTTCATAATTCTGAGATACCAGAAAAATTGTTATCCCTTACCAAGGATTGAACCTAGGTCTCCCCTCATGACAGCTCCGTACTGTGACCACTCAAACCTGCCACTCCTCAATGCCTCACTGTGTGGACTGTGACATGTCTTCAATGAGACCACTCAAACCTGCCACTCCTCAATGCCTCACTGTGTGGACTGTGACATGTCTTCAATGAGACCACTCAAACCTGCCACTCCTCAATGCCTCACTGTGTGGACTGTGACATGTCTTCAATGAGACCACTCAAACCTGCCACTCCTCAATGCCTCACTGTGTGGACTGTGACATGTCTTCAATGAGACCACTCAAACCTGCCACTCCTCAATGCCTCACTGTGTGGACTGTGACATGTCTTCAATGAGACCACTCAAACCTGCCACTCCTCAATGCCTCACTGTGTGGACTGTGACATGTCTTCAATGAGACCACTCAAACCTGCCACTCCTCAATGCCTCACTGTGTGGACTGTGACATGTCTTCAATGAGACCACTCAAACCTGCCACTCCTCAATGCCTCACTGTGTGGACTGTGACATGTCTTCAATGAGACCACTCAAACCTGCCACTCCTCAATGCCCCACTGTGTGGACTGTGACATGTCTTCAATGAGACCACTCAAACCTGCCACTCCTCAATGCCTTACTGTGTGGACTGTGACATGTCTTCAATGAGACCACTCAAACCTGCCACTCCCCGATGCCTTACTGTGTGGACTGTGACATGTCTTCAATGAGACCACTCAAACCTGCCACTCCCCAATGCCTTACTGTGTGGACTGTGACATGTCTTCAATGAGACCACTCAAACCTGCCACTCCCCGATGCCTTACTGTGTGGACTGTGACATGTCTTCAATGAGACCACTCAAACCTGCCACTCCCCGATGCCTTACTGTGTGGACTGTGACATGTCTTCAATGAGACCTCAAGAGGAACTTACGTTTTTGTTCTGACTGACTTCTCTTTCTTGTAATCTGCTTTGATTCCCTTGATCTGTTTCTTCACTTCCTTGATCTCATCCTTCTTCTGGTCAATCTAACAAAGTACAACACCACCACAGTGTTAGAAATATCAAGATAACATTCAACCTCACTCGTCTTCTGGTCAATCTGACAAGGTTCAACAACACCACGGTGTTAGAAATATCAAAATGACATTCGACCTTTCTTCTTCTTCTTGCTCCCTAGCTGTAAACTCTGGCTGAAAGTTCTATCTGTTCCCCCACTTCTGGTCTTGTTCCAGAACCTTCTGTTTTGCATGCATCTCTGCTTTACAGATCTAGCTTATTTGTCTGCAGACTGTTGGTTCCTCGCCTCTCATGCAGATGTACTCTGACTTTGAAGGAAACTGTGCTAATTAGTCATCTCCCACAACATGCTAGTTAGAGGACTGGGGGGTCTATTCTTTCCCCACCCCCCTACAATGGGGACCCAGGACCAACATGGGGAAATCATCCTCATAAAGTGCAATAGTCACATCATAAAGAAAGTTGGTATTTGTTTCCACTTGTTGGTGCACAGATTTCTAATAACCTTCCAGTAATCAGTGCAAAATAGTTCATTCTTCTTCTTTTGCTTGAAACAGACTATGAATGAAATGTTTTCTTTTGTATAAATTTCTTATTAAAATGTTCATGACTCGAATCCACTTTTTGTCACAGGAAAGATGAATGATCTAGTCCAAGACAACTCTCAGTATCTCTTTTGGGACTGTCTTGGATGACTTTTTCCTTTTCAGTAAATACAAACATTTGGAAACAGTGGCAATTGGAATGAGCAAATCATACACTGTGTAAACAAAACAAACGTGTGGTTAATCTTAGATGTCCACAGTAAGATGTACTATACAACAAGAAACAACATGATCTGTGTATCAGGTTTTTTAATTCCTTAATTTTATGTTGGTGCATCAGAGAGGATACTGCAAGGTATACGACAAATCAGACTGCAGCATATGGCATGTACCCTGATTATTTAAAGTAACATCCTCTTCATAGGCAGCTGCAATGGTGCAGTGGCTAGACATTTGCTTGCTGGCCCATAGGTCTTAGGTTCAAAGTCGGATCAAATTGCTATTTAAAAGAAGAAAAAAATTACCCTAGTTCCAAAGTCGAACCAGTCTAAAACTGGTACCAGGAAAAGTCCTGGGACATAAAGGCAGCCAGCATGATGCTGGCCATATCACCCACCGAGTGCTGATTGATCTACAAAATATGAGAGTCTAGCACTAGATGCTTGAAACACCGCTGGCATAAAAAGAGCTGTTTACTTGACTGACCTTCTTCATCAGATTTTCCATGGACTTCTCAAAAGATTTGGGCACTGAACGTTGATGATTACACAGAATAGCCACAGCCCTGTTGGCTCTGTTGTAAGCAAGCATCTTGGCTGCTGGAGGGTCGTCAGCTACAATTATACATACATATTACCATGTTATTAGAGAGAAGCCAGTGTACACTGCCATACATACACATATATATATATATGCCATGTATATTACAATTAAGAACCAGAAACATCAAATCTTCTTCTTCTTCGCGTTCACCAGCTGTACTCTGGTGGAAAATTCTGGTTGCTCGTCCACTACTGAACTGCAGTCCTGCTCCAGAACCTGAGTGTTGTGTGTGCATCAGTTTTACAGATCTCATTCTCTTGAATACAGACTGTTGGTTCCTTGCCTCTCCGGCAGATGCACTCCGACTTCAAAGGAAGCTCCCCAATTAGTCGACTCTTACGACATGCTTTTGGGGAGGCAGTGGGTCTATTCTTGTTTTCCCCACAATGGGGCCCCGGAACCCACACGGGGGAAACATCAAATGATAGTAGTAGAACAAAGACCAATGTGAGCCAAAGTGAAATTCACAGCTCAGGCAAGCAGAATAAGAGGAGACAACTCTAAAGCAGTGGTTTTCAACCTTCCTAATGCTGCGACCCTTTAATACAGTTCCTCATGTTGTGGCAACCCTTTAATACCATTCCTCATGTTGTGGCAAGCCTTTAATACAGTTCCTCATGTTATGGCAACCCTTTAATACAGTTCCTCATGTTGTGGCAACCCTTTAATACAGTTCCTCATGTTGTGGCAACCCTTTAATACAGTTCCGCATGTTGTGGCAACCCTTTAATACAGTTCCTCATGTTATGGCAACCCTTTAATACAGTTCCTCATGTTGTGGCAAGCCTTTAATACAGTTCCTCATGTTGTGGAAACCCTTTAATACCGTTCCTCATGTTGTGGCAAGCCTTTAATACAGTTCCTCATGTTATGGCAACCCTTTAATACAGTTCCTCATGTTGTGGCAACCCTTTAATACAGTTCCTCATGTTGTGGCAACCCTTTAATACAGTTCCGCATGTTGTGGCAACCCTTTAATACAGTTCCGCATGTTATGGCAACCCTTTAATACAGTTCCGCATGTTGTGGCAACCCTTTAATACAGTTCCGCATGTTGTGGCAACCCTTTAATACAGTTCCTCATGTTATGGCAACCCTTTAATACAGTTCCTCATGTTATGGCAACTCTTTAATACAGTTCCTCATGTTCTGGCAACCCTTTAATACAGTTCCTCATGTTCTGGCAACCCTTTAATACAGTTCCTCATGTTATGGCAACCCTTTAATACAGTTCCTCATGTTGTGGCAACCCTTTAATACAGTTCCTCATGTTCTGGCAACCCTTTAATACAGTTCCTCATGTTATGGCAACCCTTTAATACAGTTCCTCATGTTCTGGCAACCCTTTAATACAGTTCCTCATGTTGTGGCAACCCTTTAATACAGTTCCTCATGTTGTGGCAACCCTTTAATACAGTCCCGCATGTTGTGGCAACCCTTTAATACAGTTCCTCATGTTATGGCAACCCTTTAATACAGTTCCGCATGTTGTGGCAACCCTTTAAAACAGTTTCATGTTGTGGCAACCCTTTAATACAGTTCCTCATGTTGTGGCAACCATTAACCATACAGTTATTTTGTCACTTCTTCTTCTTCTGCCTTTCTATCCCCCAATGGAGCATAGGCCCTCAACCAACTCACGCCAAGTCGTTCTATCCTTCAAGTAGTGACAAAATATGAAGTTGGTTGAGTGACTTCATATTTTGTCACTACTTTGTAACAAAAAAAATGAATGTGTGTTCTATAATGGTCTTTTGAAAGGGTCCTTTGAACTAATGCTCTAAACCTTTACAACACAGCAGAAAAATCCTACATTTCTGACCCCTCACATCATACACAGACAGTAGAAAGAGTCCACAACTCTACCCCTTGAGAATACAGACCGCATAAAAATCTCACAACTTTAACTCATCACAACACAGCACAGACAGCATAAAGAGCAGACAACTCTATGCTTCACAACACATACAGACAGCATAAAATGCAGACAACTCTAACCCTTCACAACACAGACAGCATAAAAAGCAGACAACTCTAACCCTTCACAACAGACAGACAGCATAAAAAGCAGACAACTCTAACCCTATACAACACAGACAGACAGCATACAAAGCAGACAACTCTAACCCTATACAACACAGACAGACAGCATAAAAAGCAGACAACTCTAACCCTATACAACACAGGCAGACAGCATAAAAAGCAGACAACTCTAACCCTATACAACACAGACAGACAGCATAAAAAGCAGACAACTCTAACCCTATACAACACAGGCAGACAGCATAAAAAGCAGACAATTCTAACCCTATACAACACAGACAGACAGCATAAAAAGCAGACAACTCTAACCCTATACAACACAGGCAGACAGCATAAAAAGCAGACAACTCTAACCCTATACAACACAGACAGACAGCATAAAAAGCAGACAACTCTAACCCTATACAACACAGGCAGACAGCATAAAAAGCAGACAATTCTAACCCTATACAACACAGACAGACAGCATAAAAAGCAGACAACTCTAACCCTATACAACACAGGCAGACAGCATAAAAAGCAGACAATTCTAACCCTATACAACACAGACAGACAGCATAAAAAGCAGACAATTCTAACCCTATACAACATAGACAGCACAAAGAGCAGACAACTCTTAATCCTTCATATCATTTCATCATCATTCTTTGTGTACCCTTAAGACTCACATTTGATTCCTTCACTCCTCTCTATTGCAGGCAACTCTCTTGATTTCAGTCAAAGAGTTCAGCAGAGAATCTTTAGCCTCTTGTAATAATGTTCTTAATTTCTCCCTTAAATACCCTCTTTTTCTGATACCGTTTGTTTCCTACTTCGGTGCCTGTTCTGCAATTCTTTGCTAATTTTATCTCCGAGGGTGCCCAATATATCTCCACATTCTTTGTCTTAATACAGTCAATACATATATTCATCCAGACATTTCTCCGATCTCACTCTTTTTGAATTCATCTCATTTTATGTTCATGATTTCTCTAAGATATTTATTTTCAAATGCATTTAACTTTCTTCAATATCTTTGACAGCTCCTCATCTTATGCTTGGCATATGACACAACTAAAATTACATTAGAACTGAAGATTCCTAGTTTGGTCTTAAAGCTGTATAAACTGGAATTCTATATTTTGTTCAGAAAATAATATAGAGACTAAAAACATGGACCCTCTTAAAAAAAGCAGCTTACAAAATGGGGACTAGTTATCAACCAAGATAAGACAGAATACATAATAATAACAAGACAGGGAAAGGATATAAACTCTGGCCATGTCCAAGTCGATAATATGAGAATCAAACGAACAGAAACACATAAGTACTTTGGTGCAAACTTCAAAGTGCAGACATGCTGAGAGAGTAAATACAATTTAGAATACAATATGGAAATAAAGTATACTACCTTAAACATCCGCTAAAGTCAAAGTTTCTATCTAGCTACACCAAGATACAAAATATTGATGAGACCAGACGTCGTATATGGCTCTAAAACCTGGAGCCCAACTAAAAGAGATGAAGCCTTATTACAAGCGTCTTACCACAAATCTTTGAACACATCAAAGATGCAAACAGCGGGGAATGAAGAGAGAAGCAACACTTAGATGGCTGGGGCATGTAGAGAGAATGTCAGATGACACAGAGGCAAAAACTAATAGAGTTAAATGGTCGCAGACCATGAGGCAGACCAAGAAGACGAGAGAGAGATAATATCAAGACAGAAACACAAACACTTAGTGTCACCAACTGGAAAGAGAAGGCTATTGCTTGTAACATTGACGGGCTCAGAAAGAGAGCCACTTTCCTTACCAATCATGCCTCATAGTGTTGCAGAGCCTGTCATAATTTGCGGGATTGTCGCGCTTAGTGACCAGCCAGCAGCACAAGTATTTTACTCATTGCTGTCAGTAACCGGCGATATAGTGTGTTTTACATTTTATGATGTGGCTATTTTTATCGGTCCCAAAACATGAAGAACTGGCCCTAAATCCAACCCCCTTAGGCCACATCTTCCGCCTATGTCCAGTAAGAGAGGCAGCCTTTGACAACAAGCTGAATACAACGTGCTACTGGCCGGTCACTAAGCGTTGACACCCACCGCTACATAGGAAAGGTCCTTTGACACTATTAGTCACGATGGCATGTCACTCTCTTTCTGGGCCCGACAACGTTACTATAACCAGAAGGCCAACCAGACAGATGAATGGAAGCAGGTGAAATTGGCATCAGGGCGAAGAGGAATTCTTCCAATTTGAAAACCAGCTTGTTATTCTCTCATGTTGTATCAACTGCCTCTTGAATTCTACTGAGGATTACTTTGCAAAATGTTAGCAGATAATAAAGTAATTCCTCTCTAACTATTGCAGTCATTAATATTACCGGGGGGGGGGGGGGGGGGGGGGAGATTTCACAATTATTCCTTTCTTCCACTGTTCTGGAATTTTACCTTTCTCATAATTTGTTAAATTGTTCCAGCACTTGTTGGACAGTTGTCTTATCTGCTCCTCTGAGCTTTTCATTAAAATAAAAAGAGACAGACATCATAAAAAGCAAACAATTGTAACGCTTCACAACACATACAGCCAGCACAAAAAGTCAACAACTCTAAACTCCCTCCTCTCCCATACAACTCAGATAGTAAAAAACATGACAATTGTAATCCTGCTGTAACTTACGGTTGGTCAGAAGCGCCAGCTGCTCAGACAGTGTCTTGGAGGCATTGAAGGTACGGAATACTTTGGCAGTAAGGCCATCCATCAGGTCTTGAAGGTGTTTGTTGAGAATTGTAGTCTGTAAGAAAGACAAATGTAATCGACACATGCTCCTTGCATGAGACAGCTCATAATGTACAATTCCACAGACATTTAATAAAACAACAAAACTGCAGTTAATAACAGCCACAATGGGCAACTGACAACATATAACAACTCACATAAGGCAATTGACAACATATTTAATACATACAGGGCAACGGACAACATATATTCTGAAGGACTGTGCAATTCACAATTTATACAACTACTATACAGTGAAATTCACACCTACACCACGACCACACAGTACAATTCACAACATACAACACAATGGTAATGACAACACAACACTAAAATGGTCATGTAAGCCTATCTAGCATTCTGCCCTTTCAGCCTCACTGCCGCGTGTGATGTTCGATTGATACACAGCACACTTGCCAAGTATCTAGGTATGCTCAATGGTGTTACAGTTACAAGTCACCACTCCCGCCCCACAGCAATAGAGGACCCCGGATAGATGTTGAACGTCAAAGCAGAATTAATGTATTTCAACACCAAGACAATGAAAGGCATCACAAGACATGAACTTATATACTGCCACAGTCATTCTCACTAACAAGGTAACACACACTCAGGACGTTCTGGGCTGCCACCCTATGTTCCGTGGTTGCTACGGGTAAACACTACCCGCTCGTGCGAATCCACTGCTCGTGATTACATGACTGTCTCTATGACACCAGTGACTTGGGTACACTGTCACTAGAAAGATCATACAGGCCGATGCACAATACCTTGTAAAGATTATCCAGACCTTCTGTCTGCGGCCTGACACGTACTTGAGATCTCCTGATCTAACCTCACGAACTTCCGTCACGCTGGCCCGGCCACTGTAGCAACACTCACAGAGACAGCCTGGACACCTAACGCCAGCGTAACACACAGGTATGCAGGACTAGTCTGGAACCATCCAGATTAGAACATGCCTTCCACCACAGCATTGTAGAGTCAACGGTCTCTCTCTCTCTCTTTACATCCCGTTCAATTCTGTACTGCACCACTCCAAGTTTTACATTCATTACTGCACTTCCCTTTTCATATAACCATATATTGCATGCAACACTCACTCTACACACATTATTTCATTCATACATCATTTCATTCATACATTATTTCATTCATACATCATTTAGCAGCTAATAATAAGCACCATCAACAACTCTAAGTGCTATTTACAAAAGTTAGAATTTGGAGGAAGTATGCAGGTGGGGAAAAAGAGCAACAACACGAGGAGGAGAGCAACAAGAAATTAGAAGAAGAATGATAGAATCTTGGAAAAAGTATGCAGGAGTAAGAAGAAGGTAACCAAAAAGAGGAGGAAGAGGAGGAGAAAAAGAATAAGAAAGAAAGAAAGAAAGAAAGAAAGAAAGAAAGAAAGAAAGAAAGAAAGAAAGAAAGAAAGAAAGAAAGAAAGAAAGAAAGAAAGAAAGAAAGAAAGAAAGAAGAAAATTATGAAGAATAAAAGAAGAACAATAAAGATAGAAAAAAAAAAATTAGGATAGAAATGAAGAAAAAGAAGGACAGAAATGAAGAATAATAAGACAGAAGAAAACAGCAGACACTAGTGAGTACTCACATTAAGCCTGTCAAAGAGATCATCCTCCGGCTGCTTGTTCTCCATGAACAGCTCCAGGTTCTTGAACACCCGCTTCTCCACAGGGATGGAGTTCTGGTAGCGAATGGAATCTTTACCCAGGAAGTCAAACTCCACAACGTACTGCTTGCCATCTTTCTCATTGTGCAGCTTGATGTGTTCCACCCGCAAGGAGCAGCAGCCTACAGTGTCTGCGGTTTCTCCTTCCTCCTTTTCGTTACCAGCTCTTAAGGCAAGCTGAGAAATTGTAGTCATTGAGGAAGAGGTTAAATAATGTGTGGCAAAGGTACTTTTGGAAAAACACATTTGGAAAAAGATAACTGTAGAAATGTATTTTTAACGAAAAAGACAACCTTATTGCCATCAACAAAATTTTAAATGAAAACCAATCAACTTTATTCTTCTTTTTAAAGTCCATGCTGTGTGGCAATGGTAGTCATGTGTATCCACAACCTTCTTTCTCGTGTACTTGCAATCAGCTGCGACACAGATGATTCTCCATGCCATGATGTCAAACTGTCCAGCATGTTTTCTCACGGCCCCCCTTTGCCTGCCTTCCACTCCAACTGTCCTACTGTTATGATGCACTCCAGCTTTCTCCCTCTCAGCACATGACCAAAGAACGTAGACTGTCTCTTGCTGATGTCTGGGCAATCAGTTCTCTTCGTGAGTTAGTCTTTCTCAAGATACTGTCATTACTCTTTTTAGCTGTCCAGGGTCTTTAAAAAATCTAGAGACACATTTTTTTTTAAAGGGAGAAAGAGAGAAAATAGGGGGAGACAAAGTGAACAGTAGAGATATTGTAGCAAACAACAGCAAGTAGGAGAGGAAGAGGGAGAGATAGAAAGGAGGAGACAGAAAGAAGAAAGGCAAAAACAACATTGAATGACAGCAAACAATAGCAATGAAAAAAAATGTGTAGCTGGCAAATTAGAGAGAAGAATCCTGTGCACAAAGTTTAGAGCTAAACACTTCTGAGACACGGACCACAGACAACTATGTCAATGAAGTCTTCTTAGCATTACTGTATCAATGATGATAACATTACCTATATCATGAAGGAAACATAACACTGACTTGTCAAAGAAGTTTACTAAGAACTACTTTGTCAATGAAGTGTCTTTAACCTTGACAATAAAAGTAAACTTAATATGTTCTCAATAAGGTGAATTTAACATTACCTTGTCAAAAAAGAATAAAGGAACAGTACTGGTGTACTGAACTAACTCAACATTACCTTGCCAATTAAAGAAGCAAAACTACCTTGTCAACAAAGGAAACTTCACCTTGTCAACAGTAAATCTGACAACACCTTATTAATAAATTAAGCTTAACATTACCATGTCAATAAACGTAATATTACCATGTCAATAAACTTAACATTACCATATCCACACACACAAACACTGAACATTACCTTGTCAATAAAGTATAAGGCCACAGCACGCTGTCGAACACGCATCTCCTTGGATTTCCAGTCCTCCTGGTATTGAGCTCGGATCTTGTCGACACACTTGTGCAGCTTGCGAGCGGTCTCGTACTTCTGCCAGTCTTTCTCACCCTAGGATGACAAGAGACACAACATCCCACTGACTTGTCTTATTAATGAAACATGGTGGATGCTTGTCTTCTTCTTCTTCTTCGCGTTCACCAGCTGTAAACTCTGGCGGAAGGTTCTGGTTGCTCGTCTACTACTGAACTGCAGTCCTGCTCCAGAACCTGAGTGTTGCGTGTGCATCAGTTTTACAGATCTCATTCTCTTGAATACAGACTGTTGGTTCCTTGCCTCTCCGGCAGACGCACTCCGTCTTCAAAGGAAGCTCCCCAATTAGTTGACTCTTACAACATGCTTTTGGGGAGGCAGTGGGTCTATTCTTGTTTTCCCCACAATGGGGCCCCGGAACCCACACAGGGGGGTGGATGCTTGTGAACCTAAACGCTGCAAGATGTTTGTGAGCTGTTGGTGGTTTTAGTAGTCAATTTTAGTTCAACACTTTGCCATTGCTTTCCTTATGACAGACTGTCCACACCACTGCTGAAATTAATGCAGAGCACTATGATTCCAAACCGCCTGCAGCTGAATCAAAACCAGGTATTTTGGAATTACAAATTAGAAAGATGAAGTGATGAAAAACTGGAAGTTGTGGAGAAGATGCAGGAAATCATTGAAAATGTAACACCAGTCATACCTGCATTATTTTCAAGGTGCCACACAACACTGTTTATGCAATGTGTTTTGTTTAAAAAATATTATTTTATGCAATATTAATATTTTACTAAGCTAACCTGAGTTGTGAAATTATTTATTTATTGAAAACTGTTACAAAAATGGCAACTTTTCGGCCTTAGCAACACCATTTGCACAAGGAGATAACTATATGTACTATATATCATCGTAATCGTTATGTCCCCTGAATTGTTCAACGGGTTTCGGGATTGTGGATTGCCATGTTTCCCATTCACAGTTGATTCACTGACCCTTATAAGATCCCGGAAACTTCCATATATGGGTTTAAACAAGACCTTGTTTATTAGCATAAGTACAGACGATTCCCACTGGCTGAAACTGATCACCACGGTATCTGATTTTCCAAGATGGTGGATGTTTACACAGAGATGAAAAGACCAATGTGAATCGAAAATGTCTTGTTCCAAGAAATTTAAAATCCACTTAGCTGATCCACGTATGGCAAATGCTCGTTAGCAAAAGAAGGTCTGCAAAAAAAGAAAACACATGTAGCCAGTATAGAGAGACATGTACGGAATTACTTATGTGTTTATTTATTCCACCCCACTGGGCTACAACCTGGTATCAGTAAGACGACAAAACCATTCCACTGGGCTACAAACTAGTATCAGTAAGACGACAAAACCACTCCTCTCACTGGGCTACAAACTAGTATCAGTAAGACGACAAAACCACTCCTCTCACTGGGCTACAAACTAGTATCAGTAAGACAACAAAACCACTCCACTGGGCTACAAACTAGTATCAGTAAGACGACAAAACCACTCCACTGGGCTACAACCTGGTATCAGTGAGACGACAAAACCACGACACTGGGCTACAAACTAGTATCAGTAAGACGACAAAACCACTCCACTGGGCTACAATCTGGTATCAGTGAGATGACAAAACCACGACACTGGGCTACAACCTGGTATCAGTGAGATGACAAAACCACTACACTGGGTTACAAACCTAGTATCAGTGAGACGACAAAACCACCCCACTGGGCTAAAAACTAGTATCAGTGAGACGACCAAAAAAAAAGTCACTAGCTCCAGGATCGACCTCACCAAAACTGGATATCAAGAACTGTCCAGAGAAGTATAAGCAATCTACAGGGCAGACCATACCCCCCTTTTGAATGCCAACTGGTCTGTAAACATATGGGTGTAGCACCATATACCCGATGTGACACTGGTCCTTTCCTGAGTTTTATTTACCTACACAGATGTAAGAGCAAACCTCACCTTCAGCTTCGATGCGGCGTTCAGCATGACATACTTGGTAGCCCCCTGGATGTTCTCTGACCAACTGGCCAGCCATGTCACCTTGTTGTCGTGACGAACCTCTTTCCACTTGTGTCCAGCCGGAGGGACAGGAATCTTGGAGTCCCTGGAGATAGCACACAAGGGAAGCTTACAATCTAACCAACCTCCCCATCTCTAAATGTGTATGCAGAAAAACTCCAGCTGGAGCTATGTAGCACACACAGGGCTATTCAACTGGCAGCCCACAGGTCAATACTGACCGGCGGAGATCTAACTAGTGGCCTGCGGATCACTGCCAGTGGTGCTGTAATAATTTCTATGCCGCAGCTCCGGCTTTTTCCAAACTGTGGCCCCTAAATAAAAGTTGAAATTCCTGAGGTATGATGTCAAATCATTCTCCTTCTTTGTCCATGGTATTATAAGAACTTTTCTGCAGGAGTTTAAAAGCTCCAATTGTTTTTTTTTTCAATGATCACATCCATGACTCACAGCTATGACTCACATCCATGACTCACATCTATGACTCACATCCATAGGATGCGATGCCACAGCAAAGATGCATGATCTCAACATGTTTACTCCAACTCAATTGCAGGTGATGTGCCAGTTTTTTTTTTAATGCTGCATAGTCTCTGCATTGCCAAAACAAGTCTTTTTCTGACTTCTCTGTGCAGTCAACCTTTTTGTTCACTTTACATCAATTATAACCAGCAACAAAAATTGTTTTCTTTTTAAAAAGCTCTCGCCTGCACTCACTAAAAGAACAACTAAGAAAAGCAATCCTGTCTGTACTCACATTCTACAAGTATTATTCTCAATGCAGTACTCGCTACAACTAACAAGAACTAACAAAGATCTCTCCCCATGTGGGTGCCAGGGCCCTATTGTTGGGAAAACAAGAACAGACCCACTGCCTCCCCAACAAGCAGGCCTTAAAAGCTGACTAATTGGGGGCATCCTTCAAAGTTACAGTACACATCTGCCTGGGAGTCAAGGAACCAAGAGTCTGTACATACATAAGAAACATCTGTAAAATGGATGTGCACGCAACAATCGGGTTCTTGAACAAGACTGGAACTTGGTGAATATTCAGAGCTTTTACACTGGAGCTGCTCCACTCACTTGTTACAAATAACAAGAACTGCACCACTCACTTGTTACAAGTACAACTAACAATAATTGCACCAGTCACTTGCTACAAGTACAACTAACAACAACTGCACCACTCACTCACTACAAGAACAACAAACAACAACTGCCCCACTCACTTGCTACAAGTACAACAACAACTGCACCACTCAAGTACATCTAATAACAACTGCACCACTCACTTGCCACAAGTACAACTAGTAACTGCCCCACTCACACTACAAGTACAAGTACTACTAACAAAGACTGCACCACTCACTCGCTACAACAACTGCACCACTCACTCACTACAAGAACAACAAACAACAACTGCCCCACTCACTTGCTACAAATACAACAACAACTGCACCACTCAAGTACATCTAATGACAACTGCACCACTCACTTGCCACAAGTACAACTAGTAACTGCCCCACTCACTCACTACAAGTACAAGTACTACTAACAAAGACTGCACCACTCATTCGCTACAACAACTGCACCACTCGCTCGCTACAAGCACAACTAACAACAACAGCACTACTCACTTGCTGCAAGTACAACTAACAACAACTGCACTACTCACTCGCTGCAAGTACAACTAACAACAACTGCACTACTCACTTGCTGCAAGTACAACTAACAACTGCATTACTCACTTGCTGCAAGTACAACTAACAACTACCCCACTTACCTGATGCAAGTACTACTAACAACTGCACCACTCACTCGCTACAAGTACAACAAACAAGGACTTCACCACTCACTCGCTGCAAGTATAACTAACAACTTCACTACTCACTCACTACAAGTACAACTAACAACTGCACCACTCTCCTGCTACAAGTACAACCAACAAGAACTGCACCGCTCACTCGCTACAAGTACAACAAACAACTGCACCACTCGCTACAAGTACAACTAACAACTGCACCAATCGCTACAAGTACAACTAACAATTGCACCAATTACTTGCTACAAGTACAACAAACAACAACTGCACCACTCACTTGCTACAGTTGATAATGACATCCTCCGGATTAATTCTCTTCTTCACCATACCCTGCTTTGGATGATCACCACGACCTCGGAATAAACTTGGTGGTTCGATCTTGAAGTTGCCAATTTTCTCTTTGTGGTTGTCAATAATGCAGAAGCCATACTGTTTGACCATTTCCTCATTTTCTTTTTTTAACCTCTGTGGAAGATTTTGTTTGTGGGTGTAACAGAGACATCTTTGTATTTTAGAATTTGCGATGGCGACAAAAGTCAAATGTACTTACAACCATAATTACTTGTCAGAAGAGCAGGATGAAGGAAGAGTGAACATTCTGTTTAAGCTAAGTCCTGTTGTATTTTAACTGAGAATACTAGAATTTTTATTATCATAAATAAAGGTGGTTAGATGCCTGCCTGCAGGCCTGAAGTGGTGGATTCTAATCCATACTGCAGCAGACTTTAACTATGGCTCCCAGATTGGCCCAGCCTATTCAGAAAGTATCCTGGGAAGTAAAGGCAGCAGGCGTGATGATCGCACTGTACATCAAGTGCTGAATGGTCTATCAAAATATGGGCTTAACATGTGCAGCAATGTGTGAGATTAGTTCTTTACTTCTTACTTTTATTACAGAAGCATCATGTAAACTAAACATCATATTATCTCATGTAGGAACCACATTAAAGAGGCTCAACATCATAGTATTTCATGAAGGAATTGCATCATGGAAACATCAATTCTGAGAGTAAGTTTATGTAGGAATCTCAATATGAGTCTAAGACGCTAACCTCATTACATGAGCTGGGAGTAAAGCCACATGGCATATAGATAAAGACAACATAATGCAGCTAGCCTCTGTGGAGATGAAGACATACCTGCTTCTCCTCTTTAGACATAGCCTTCCTCTCTTCAGTTTTTTTCTTGAAGTAGTCTAGAATTTCATGGAAGTTGCACTTCTTCAGATCAGTGATCTTAGCCTTTTCTTCGGCAGTCATCACCTGCAATGGAAAGCCAAGAAGCCATAACAGTCAATGTTTACCAGTACTATACTAGAGTTTCTACGAAAATATGACAGGGTCTCATATTAATTGTTGTCACAAAAGACGCATTAGGGGTTATTTACATTATCGGTGTTTTGTTTATTGAGCACTGATGTCAATATTTATCTCTGTTTCATAACTGTGAAAATTGATTCGCCAAGTGTTTCAAGAAAAGAATGAAATTCATTTGTTAGGCCTCCCTGTGTGGGTTACAGGGCCCTATTACAGGAGAAAACAAGAATAGACCCACTGCCTACCCAAAAGCTTGTCGTAAGTCAACTAATTGTGAGCTTTCTTTAAAGTCGGAGTGCATCTGCCTGAGAGGCAAGAAACCAGCAGTCTGTATACAAATGAGTCAGATCTGTAAAATGGATGCACACGCAACACTCTGGTTCTGGATCAGCACTGCAGTCCAGAAGTGGACGAACAATCAGAACTTTCCGCTAGAGTTTACAGCTGGTGAATGCGAAGAAGATTTGTGAAAAATCATACTAGGACTTATTTCTGGGTTCCGTCCTAATATCGGAGTAACATAGTACACGTGAAGGCATGCCAAGACATTATCACCACAATGTGCTATGCATATTAGCATAGGTGGTTGGTCTAGTTTCATCATCTCCCACAATCACCAGTCTCGGAACAAATCAGGTCGATGATTTTGAAATAATTATGCTGCCAGGTGATGATCAAACAAACCTGAATTTGAAAGAGTTAAGAACTGGGCATATAGGCCTGTCTCACATCATGCCCTTCTAACCCAACTACTATCATACATCTTACATGGGAGCCCAGGAACCCAGGCAATTGTCCCGTGGTGTTGCCCCTGCTCTAGTCCCATGAAGTCTGCTCTACTACCTGCCATTAGGCTGGCATGTTCATTTCTCCTCACACAACACCACACCTATCTTTAACCAGTTCACAGGTTTCCACCTGCTTTCTGAAGGGACTGCCTTATTCATTCCTGTCTGCACGAGTTATTCTTTGTGCTTTCAGAAGCCACATCTCTGTTGCCATCAGATGTTTCCTGGCATGTTCATTTCTCCTCACACAACACCACACCTATCTTTAACCAGTTCACAGGTTTCCACCTACTTTCTGAAGGGACTGCCTTATTCATTCCTGTCTGCACGAGTTATTCTTTGTGCTTTCAGAAGCCACATCTCTGTTGCCATCAGATGTTTCCTGGCATGTTCATTTCTCCTCACACAACACCACACCTATCTTTAACCAGTTCACAGGTTTCCACCTACTTTCTGAAGGGACTGCCTTATTCATTCCTGTCTGCACGAGTTATTCTTTGTGCTTTCAGAAGCCACATCTCTGTTGCCATCAGATGTTTCCTGGCATGTTCATTTCTCCTCACACAACACCACGCCTATCTTTAACCAGTTCACAGGTTTCCACCTGCTTTCTCAAGGGACTGCCTTATTCATTCTTGTCTGCACGAGTTATTCTTTGTGCTTTCAGAAGCCACATCTCTGTTGCCATCAGATGTTTCCTGGCATGTTCATTTCTCCTCACACAACACCACGCCTATCTTTAACCAGTTCACAGGTTTCCACCTGCTTTCTGAAGGGACTGCCTTATTCATTCCTGTCTGCGCGAGTTATTCTTTGTGCTTTCAGAAGCCACATCTCTGTTGCCATCAGATGTTTCTCAGTTTTGATGTTTACTGCCCAGGTCACACGTGTGACACCGAAGTATCTTCTTTAACACACAGCAACACATTTTTCACACTGCATGTGACAGTTTTCACTGGAAGTGTTTTCTGCCCTATAAAATGCTGAGAAATTTAAAAATAAATTTAAAGAGAAAGAAAGAATTCACAAACTTTTATTTTCAAAATTTAAAGAAAGGAAGAAAGTCAGCAAGCAAGAAGGTTAGCAAGGAAATAAGGCAAGAATAAACAAACTTTTTTTTAAAGGGTAAGGTAACGAAAGAAAAAAGACAAAAACTAAAGAAAGAAAAACAGAAATGAAAGAAAGCACCATTTCTTCAAAAGTAAAAAAAAAAAAAACACATTAGGAAAGAAAGGAAATGACTACCTTCCTCCAATCCTTCATAAAGTTAGTATTAAAAACCTCTCGAGTAGTGTACTCATGGTCCAACATACGACCATAGAAAACAGCCACCTCTTCTGTGTTGGGAGTCAGCTCCATGGGCTTCCCTGCACAAATAAAGCAACATCTTCAGATGTACAATACCAGTAAGTTAATAGGTTAGTCGGCCGCGGTTTCCACGTCATGACCAACAGGTCACTCCATAACTGTTCCCGCAACAGTGAAATTCAATCCGGAAACACGTTACAGTGGAAATAAAATACATAAACTAGTAATGCAGTAAATGGATAAGGCAGCTGCTAGAGGTGCCAACACTAACAGCCAGCTACTAGAATTTCAGTCAAGGATTCCCAACAAAAACTGCCACCATCCCTTTCCACATGAGATCCAGTTCACAGTGCTGCACTAAGCACTCAACTCAGTAGCTAAAAGAATATGCATCAGCAAACCATAAAGAGGAACACACACTACAAGCTTTCATGGACACTACAAGCTTTCATGGACCACCTGCCTATATGCCAGGTTGGACCAGAAGTCCATACAATATTAGTAAAAAAAAAAAATGACCAACTGATTTTATAGTTTTCAGGTTTTATAGCAAGTGAACACTGCTGAAGAGCAAATAGATCATCAAGGTCTTGACATACAGGTGCAGCAAGAAATAGCTCACTCTCATGAGTCTATGTAGAAGACCTTCAATGTCATCAATCCATTCCTCCTCGGGCCGCCTCTTGATTTCAATTCTTTTTGCTGTGGCTGTTGTCACTTTTTTCAAACAGTCAGTAGTCCCTGCAAGATCAAGAGTCTGTACATGCATCACATGCATAAGACAGCCACCAGTGGTGCCAACACTAACAGTCTGTCCCTAGAATTGAAATCTGTGCATGATGGAAGCAGCAGTCTGACCCCCAAAAAGCATACCTTAAATATCACTGCCCCCGCTGATATTAAAGACACGGAGTAGGGGGAAGATCTAACAACAAATGGATGACAGCAACAACAAGCAACACAAACAGGGAGTAGGGGGAAGATCTAACAACAAATGGATGACAGCAACAACAAGCAACACAAACAGACCATATATAGATCTTGATTCAAACAGCTTTTCCTTGACAAGAAAGAAATTTTTAAAAAAGACGAGCACCTACCATCATAATAAAAGCGAACACTTTTTGGTAAAGGTTCGTATGCTGGAGCAAATACAGGGCCCTTGTGCTCCAAAAAGGTCCATTTGACAGTGTTGTCCTCTCGCTGCTCCTCCCACCTGCCAAACAATAATCCAAATTAACCTGACTGACACACTGTATGGATGACTAGCTATATTTGATAGAAAATTCTAAAAAGCAATACAATGAAATTTGGAACAGAAGCACAGTGAGGCATGAGAGGTGCACCAGATACACGAGCTGCCTAGTTAACCACCATAAAACTTACACTACTAACTGCTAGACGATTATGTGTGTGTGTGTGTGGTGGTAAAGGGAGTGGATTGGAGCACACACGGGCGTGTCTGCAGTGCTATCAAGATGATTTACAACACAATGAAATATGAACGCCTCTTTACACTAGAACAAATCAGCCGACCAATTCTTCCTTCGTCTGTATATATGGCAGCTATAAGAGTGTGCCGGAGTTTACAGCCTTCTCATTTTAGCAAATCCTTAAGAAACGAAATATCTGCCAAAGAGCAGTGGGTTTTTTTCTTATTTTTTTCCCACACAAAAAATGGGGCCTGGAACCCACATGGGAAACCAGACAACAAAATAACATGCACACATAAAAAACCTGCACTGAGTTGATGAGGGCCTGTTTTCCATATGGGGGCAAAGGGTTATTTAAAAAAAAGACAACAGTATGTTACAAGCATTATAAAAACAAATCTCCATGTGGATTCCGGAAGTTCTGGAGCAAGGCCAGACAAACAGCCAGGACTTGATGCTGCAGTTTACAGCTGGTAAATGCTAAGAAAAGGAAGAAGAGGAAGAAAGAGCAAATATCTGACTGCTCCACAACAAATCTAACAGTACTCACCATTTCCAGACTGCCTGCTCCTCCTCTTCCACTCCTTTCTTCTTTTTCTTGACTGGCTCATCTTCGGTTTCTTCTTTTATTTCTTTCTTGTTTTTAACCGCCTTTAGATGATACAGATTTGGTATTATACTGATTTTTAGTGGGAGATATGATCAGCTGTAGCATACGTGTAGAGATGAGAGCAGACAGAACACAGCAAACAGAAGCAATCATCAGTCAGGGCAATGCAACTTTAAAACAACCTCATTTCTAATTTATGGATAAACTGTGGTCGATAACAACCATGTAATACTGTGCAATTATTAAGGTAATATCTCCCTCTTTCATTAACAAAGGCACCTAATATGCAAGTCCAAGTTACCTCTGTGAAATCCCACTAACTCACCAACAAAGCCACCTAATATATAAGGCCAAGTTACCTCTGTGAAATCCCACTAGCTCACCAACAAAGCCACCTAATATATAAAACCAAGTTACCTCTGTGAAATCCCACTAACTCACCAACAAAGCCACCTAATATATAAGGCCAAGTTACCTCTGTGAAATCCCACTAACTCACCAACAAAGCCACCTAATATATAAGGCCAAGTTACCTCTGTGAAATCCCACTAGCTCACCAACAAAGCCACCTAATATATAAAACCAAGTTACCTCTGTGAAATCCCACTAACTCACCAACAAAGCCACCTAATATATAAGACCAAGTTACCTCTGTGAAATCCCACTAACTCACCAACAAAGCCACCTAATATATCAGGCCAAGCTACCTCTGTGAAATCCCACTAACTCACCAACAAAGCCATCTAATATATAAGACCAAGTTACCTCTGTGAAATCCCACTAGCTCACCAACAAAGCCATCTAATATATAAGGCCAAGTTACCTCTGTGAAATCTCACTAACTCACCAACAAAGCCACCTAATATATAAGACCAAGTTACCTCTGTGAAATCCCACTAACTCACCAACAAAGCCATCTAATATATAAGACCAAGTTACCTCTGTGAAATCCCACTAGCTCACTAACAAAGCCACCTAATATATAAGACCAGGTTACCTCTGTGAAATCCCACTAGCTCACTAACAAAGCCACCTAATATATAAGACCAGGTTACCTCTGTGAAATCCCACTAGCTCACTAACAAAGCCACCTACCTATTATCTTCCTCTCCATTCGCTTTTGATGCAGAAACATCATCATCATCTGATGAGTCTGAGCAAGATTTGCCACACCCCCAACTGGAAGATGACTGGCAATGTGTTTTGCAAAGCTTTCCTAAAGTACCCCCCCCCCCCCCCCCCCCCCATTTACAGAAGAAGATTTTATGTGTGTGGAAAAATATTAATGTAAGAATTCAGAGGGGGAAAAAAGAGGGCCATGACAAGTTACTGGTGTAGGGAATGTCAGGTGCCACTTTGTATTGAAGGATGCTATGAGCTGTACCATACTGCTGACACATCTTGGCTGTAAAATGTGATACATCAGAATGGTATAAATTTCTTTCTTCTCTTTTTTTTTGTACTGCACTGATATTGAATTGCACACCATTTTATATGTTGGTAAAACAATACAATTTCTTGTTTTATATGTCATGAAATTTAGTCTGTATTGTTGACAGATAACAGATTTGTCTGATGGCATTTTTTTTTGGGTCTATATTGTTGTCTAACCCACACAAAAGATGCCACAACTTCACAACCATTCAACATACACTTATCGTATTTTGTATTTTTGCACCAAATTAAATAGAGAAAAAATCAATTCAAGAAACAAGCGTCATGGTGGCTTGGAAAAGACAGTGATGGATGGTGCAGTTTGTGGAAGGCGAGGTAGGGGTCGATCACCGCGAAGATGGATACAAGACATTGAAGATGCATTGGTATTGAAAGCACATGGGGCTGGAGAGCTGGCTAAAGAAAGGGATACTTTCAGTCGGTTCGTGAAGAGAGCGACGTTCTGTAAAGGACTTGCTGATTGGTGGTATTATCAAATAAAAGATTTCCCAGTTGCCTTTTTTTTTGCACCAATCTACAGGCACATGATGATGATGTGAAACAAAATAAACACAATTTTTTTTCTTAAAATGTGTTCTCCGTTCAATTTGGAGCCAAAATACAAAATATGATAAGTGTATGTTTAATAATTGTAAAGCTGTGGCATGACAAACTAAAATGTGTGGTATCTGGAAAAGTGCAAGGGTTAAAGGGCTTAGTAATCAGTGTGTTAATAAAGCCACTAAGTACAGGTTTTGTTATCGTTTTGCTCTATGCAGTCTCAGGGTCCCATTTTGGAGGGAAAAGAGAAGACCACTGCCCCTTAAACAAGCATGCCTAAGAAGGCCACTATGAGAAGTTTGCTGAAATTGGATGCGCTGGTCAGAAATGTGCAGATATCATGGCCTAGTATGAACCAAAACAACACACCAACCACCCTTTTAAGGGTGAACACAAGAAAAATCCCTTTTTGTTATAATTTATATTCTCCCTGACAAAGCTGGACATTTTTTTTAAATGACCTTGGCTCCCAGGTCAACCCAACCTTGAGTGGGTACCGGGTGCAGTCCTGGGAAGTAAATCGGCCAGCATAATGCTGACAACATCACCCATCTTGTGCCATTAGTCTATTAAAAAAATATGTCCAGCCCTATTACCCAATAGGTACGAGGTGCAGTCCCAGGAAGTAAAGGCGGCAGGCGTGATGCTGACCACATCACACATCTTGTGCCATTGGTCGATTAAAAAAACACAGGTCTAGCCCTATATACCCAATATGCCCGAAAGACGCGGAAAAGGGTCCGTTACTTTTATCATTTAAAATCATGTTCCGCTACACTGCAACGATGTGTGACATGACAAACAGGTGACTCCCGGACAGATAAGCCATTTCTAATCCACTTCTGACACAAACAAGACAGCCAAGGACACATTCCATAAACTTACTTTTTTCTTGGGAGCTGGGCTTGCCTTCTTTGGCGACTCAGCTACAGGCACTTTTTTGTGTTTAGATAATTTCTTCTCCGTTTTCAGTTTCTTGGCTTTGTTTCTGCAAGTACAGGTGCACAACAAAGTGACTTTTTCAGATTTCCTAATTGACACTGACAACTGTCTTTCATATACACCCAAAAACATCACTTTGTTTCATTGTGTACACCGGCTATAAACTCCAAATGAACTAAGACTTTGAAATAAACATAGCTGTCCCAATGCTCGATTTGTTTGTACAGGATGTTATTTTTCTTCATCCAATTTCTCTTCAGTGACGGTTGTTTCCAGATATGTAGACTGATGTCTGCTTCGTACCTTCCCGCTATATGCTTTTCTTCTTTCTACTGCAACTAATAATTATATCCTGGCTACCAAGTTTATATACTGCATTTATACAAAGCATAATGAGAAAGTCCTTAAAAAATACAAAAATGCAGAAAACTGACACATTTTTTACATGGCAGTTATCCCATAAAATAGGAGTTTTTAAACTGCTGCTGTCTTATTTTTCATGCTCTCTCCGCACAGCCAATTTTTAACACTATTAATCTTTTTTTTTTTTGAACTGCACAACTTTCCATAGCCAAATCTCTCACTTTACCTACCTCCCTGGGTCACTTCATCCCTGTGGCTTTTCTGTGAAATCGGCACATTTCCCAGTCTTCTGGATACAGTGTGGGCTTACACCAGCAAGCCCTGTGTTTTTCTGTGAAATCAGCACATTTCCCAGTCCTCTGAGTACAGTGTGAGATTACATCAGCAAGCCCTTGATTTCTCTGTGAAATCAGCACATTTCCCAGTCCTCTGGATACAGTGAGGGCTTACACCAGCAAGCCCTTGATTTCTCTGTGAAATCAGCACATTTCCCAGTCCTCTGGATACAGTGTGGGCTTACATCAGCAAGCCCTTGATTTCTCTGTGAAATCAGCACATTTCCCAGTCCTCTGGATACAGTGTGGGCTTACATCAGCAAGCCCTTGATTTCTCTGTGAAATCAGCACATTTCCCAGTCCTCTGGATACAGTGTGGGCTTACACCAGCAAGCCCTTGATTTCAAGCACGGCTGGACATTCTGATCTATACTTGATTTCAGTCTCTGGACAGCTATGTTATTTTACGTAGTTCTGTTCTCTTTGCTTTGTGTGGCTGCTAATTTTTCATTCTGTTGTATGCTGATGAATGCTTTCATGCAGCAACATTTATTTCAACATTTGGACTGTATTTTATTAGAATGTATTTCACTGGAAACTGACTAGTTTCTACTACTCTTTCTTCTATTCCTGGAATTCCTCGCGACATCAGGGCGAGATATCTAGAATGGGCCCTTCTGTTTTCTTTGTATAAAGTACTTTTCAGTATCAGTCCATATCCTGTGTGCTTGACCACTGGAAGTGTTACCACTGTATTTGTATAACACTGCTCCTTGTGGTGCCCTGCCTGATGCCAATCTTGTTACATGGCCAAACTATTTAATCTGTCGTCTACCTATATTGTTTAGTTTTGGTTCTGTATCAATTCTCCTCCTGACATCATCGTACCTAAGTTAATATTTCCTCGGTACACCTAGCAGCTAGCATAGAAGTAATGACCATAGGAAAGAAACACAGTAATGTAAACATAAAGATCCATGACATACAATTAGAACAAGTTCAAGAATTCAAGAACTTAGGATGCATATTTACAGAAGATGGAAGACTCGATAAAGAGATACAGGCTAGAGTTCAAAAAGCCAATGCAGTCAACTACCAACTGGCCCCACTTCTTCGTCATCCAAAGATCTCGTTACCAGCCAAACAACGGATGATCAATAGCATTTTCATCCCTACGTTATGTTATCAGTGCCAAACGTGGACAATAAACAAATCACATATGCAAAAAATAACTATGTGTGAAATGCGATGTCTCCGAAGAGTCGCCAACAATACACGAGACAGTCAGAAACGTCAGCATTAGAGACAAAGTTGGAACAAGATCATGCATGAAACATATTGAAAGACAGAGAATGAAGTGGTTTGGTCATTTAGTAAGAATGCAACCGGATCAGATTGCCTATAAGGCCTTTTACAGTAGAACATCGGGAAGAAAGGCCAGAGGAAGACCCAGGAAAAAATGGATAGATGGAGTAGCTGAATACGGCCAGAAGATCCAGAAAACTGTTACTCAAATCACGCGAGAGGCACAAACAAATATTTTAAACCACGACACTGGGCTGCAACCCAGTAAAAGTGAAGAAGGCAATAGATAGATAGACACCTGGCATAGTAAATATTTCATTTCTGTCGTGACTCTTTTCCTTCTGTCTTCTGAAGACAAGTGTTCTATTTATACCTTGTATATATGGAGTCTTTGGTTAAGCACCAGCAAGGAGATGAAAATAAGAATTTTGAGAATCGTGGGCTACCTCCCAGTCCTTAAGCAAGAGAATAGGGGCCTTTGAGCTGAAATGCTACAGAAATATTCTCAGAATATCTTGGACAAAGAAGAGAAGAAATACTGACATCTTGAAAGATTTGAACATCAAGGAAGATATGCTAATAAACAGCACCCTGTCTCCTAAGCTAAAATATTTTGGTCATTATCAAGCAAGACGGATTGGAAAAATTATAGCAGAAGGCATGGTACCAGGAAGGAGGGGCAGGGGCCGACCGACACGAAGATGGGCACAGGATATAAGTAACTCCTTGAGTGTGAAAGTTCATGAGGCGGGAGAACTGGCGAGAGACTGAGTTTTTTTCAGGCAGACTGATGAGATCGACATTCTGCAAAGGACCTGCTACATGATGATGATATATGTGAGACTGTCGGTGTTAGAAACAAGTGTCAGTTATGAATACATCCTGCTGATAACATAGCTTAAGAAGCCTGCAGCCATCTTTATTTTTCTGACTGCTGTTTTCTCCTAATTTCCCTGTTTTCTTCTGCTCCCTTCGAGTGTACTCATTCTGGTTAATGTGTCATGGTATTTTTAGCTTTACTGCAGTTCACTTATGTCGTTTCATACCCTGAAAGTACTGAAAAGAGTTGACAGTTATTGAATTATTCAGCTATGTCAGATTTAAACTCTGTAAAGAAATAAAATGACTGGAGGAGGAGGCAAATATGTGTAGGCTGTTTTAGTTGGTAGTGAAAGAGTTAAAAATAAGCATACCTTACTGACAATGGCACGTCGCTATCTTCATCTTCCTCATTGTATTCATCCTCATAGTCAGATTCTTCCTTGGGCCTTTTAACTGGCTTTGATTCCTTTTTGCGGATAGACTATGGAAATAAAACACAGCAATAAAATAATCCGACAGGTGCTGAGCCACAAAGTGAGGAGACGATCTAAGCGCTTATTGGTCAAACTGTCTGATGTGAAGTGAGAATGACATGTTGACTAACTAACGTGAAACAATTTGGTTTAAATATGTGTCTATCAATATGTGAACCATTTGGCAGAAGCTGCAGCAGAACTGTGGTTTTACAGGAAGATAATAATGGAATGGACAAATAACGTGTAACAAAAATATTGAGACAGAAATGAATTCGCAAACTGATTACCCGTTTCAATCAGAAACGGAGTCTCCATGCTTTTAGTACAAAGTGAGAGTAGAGACAGCTTGGTGTGCTGTGATAAAGAGACAAATAGTAGGGAATGCAAGATAGAAGACGCTGGACAGTCTGGCGTCAGCAAATGGATAATCATCTGTGTCAGAAAATGATAAAAAGTACATATGATAGAAGGCTGTGGAAAGACATGGTTACCAAAACACGAAATAATAGAAGACATACCAGATCAAATACATTTCTGTCAACAGTCACTCTAGCAGAAAACTATGCTAAATTTGGAGAAACCTGGTACTGTCTGTACCATTCCTCATCCACCTCTGACCTGCACATAATTTTTCTAAACCACACTGGATAAAGGATCAGCACATGATGAAAAATAACATTTTTCAAACTTGCTTCCTATTAAATACTAACAAGCATGTTTTGTGCTGTAACAATCAGAAACAGCTTACGATATAACAACATAGCAATCAGAAACAGCTTACGATATAACAACACAGCAATCAGAAACAGCTTACGATATAACAACACAGCAATCAGAAACAGCTTCTGATATAAACAACACAGCAATCTACCTTATTTTAGCAGATGAAAGAGTGATCACAACCACATAATAAATAAATCATTATAACTAAACAAACAATTACACCAACATAATAAACTATGGCAACATAATAAAGACATGGTGATCTCAAGAGAGGAGTAGAAACAACAGATCATGACTGGATAGTATGCATTGGAGGAGGTCAACTAGTTCAAATACATTGGAGCTGTATTAGACCGAAAAGGAGGGATTAGGACGGAGCTGGCTACAAGAAAAGTAGCTGCTGGGAGACTTCAAGGCCATAAACTGAGGAGGCAAGAGGACGAAAATAGCTGTTTACCGCTTTACCTATGGACGTGAGTCATGGGCAAATGACAACAGCTCACAGAAGCCAGTTTAAGGCCTAAGAAATGAGATATCTGACTGAGAAAGATGGTCCAAGTGACAAGAAGGGACACAGTCCGCAATCAGACAATACGTCAAGATCTTGATAGCCAGTCCTTACAAACCTGAGTGGATCAGTCAGTCAGGATGGTTTGGACATGTATGCACAATGGGGAAAAAAATCGGGCACAATGGCAGGTATGGGAGGCTAAGAACCAGGGAACCAGACCTTCGGAGCGACCCAGTGTGCGCTGGGAAGACAACATCCGACAGTCCCTAACTGACAGAGGAGTGTAATGAAATAAAGCCAGAAAGAAAACTGCTGATAGAGACATCTGGCGATCTCTCTGGCAAACCTCTACACCCCAATGTAGAAGAGGCGCGACTAAGTAAAAGAAAGAGAATATACATTTTTTAAATATATGAAAACATTAAAATTTATAGCCTATTCTTCACCAGATGTAAACTTTAGCCAAAAATTCTGGCTGTTCATCATCCTATGGATGTTAGTCTTGTTTCAGAACCTGAGTGTCCTATGCACTTCTGTTTTACAGATCTGACTAATCTGTATGCAGTTTGTTGGTTCTTTGCCTCTATGCACTCCGGCTTTGAAGAAAGCATCATACTTGTTGGGGAGGCAGTGGGTCTATTCTTGTTTTCCCCACAATGGGGTCCCGGAACCCACACAGGGAAATTATACTTATAACATTATAAACAAACAACTTACCAAAGGCTTATCATCATCTTCACTCTCTTCTTCCATTTTGACAGCAGGTTTGACAGGAGAAACGGACTGTCTTTCGTTCTTTACAGGTGAAGGCGGCGTCTCCTTCTTGATTGGTGTTTGAGCGTCACAATGATTCTCCACCACTTCAGTTTTGATCGTCACCTCTTCTTTAATGATCTCCAAGGTCTCCTTGTTTTTGGGAATCGAAGGGCTGCTCTTATCTTGGTTATTATCTCTCTTAGCTTTAAGCTTGTCCTTTTCCGAGGACGTGTGTTTCTCCTCATCACGGTGCTTGGACGATGACTTGTATTTATCCTTATCTTTATTCTCTTTGCTTTTATCTTTGTGTCTGTCAGATGAAGACGAACTGGAGCTCTTTTCTTTACTGGCATCTTTGGGCTTATCAGCAGATGATGAACTGCTGCTTTTATCTTTGCTGCTGCTTTCCTTTGATTTACTACTGCTGGATCCATCTTTATGCTTTGAGCTGCTGCTGCTGTCTTTATGCTTACTACTGCTGCTACTGTGCTTGTCTGTTAATGACGTTGATGAGCTACTTTCCTTAGGCTTGGAGCTGGAACTGCTACTTTTGTCCTTGTCTTTGTGAGATGAGGAGGAAGAGCTCCCTGCCTCCTTGTGCCTGGAGGAACTGTGCAGTGAGCTGCTGCCCTCTCTGTGTTTGGAGGAGGAGGACGACGAACTATGGCCATCTTTGTGCTTAGAACCATCTTTACCCTTAGAAGACGAGCTAGAACTTCCATGTTTAGCAGAACTGGAGGAACTCCCTTCTTTGTGCCTGGAACTGCTGGAGCTGTGATGCTTGTCTCTGTCAGAGCCGCTGCTTTTTGAAGGAGAGGAATGGTGCCCACTTCCCTGCTTTTCTTTATCCTTAACGTGATTCACTTGGCCATTCTGCTTGGGACGTGCATTTCCCTCACCACTTTCGTTGGCAGAACCAACAGAGTCCTCATTTAGCCCATTCATTCTCAAACCATGGTTTGACGCTGGCAGAAAGAGAAACATGTTCAGACAATAAACCACAAGTTAACTCTCATTTGTATCTACACGTTAACAATTTTGCTCCATAACTATTTTAAAAAACTGACAGGATTTGAAGGGATTTCAGGCCTCTCTGAAATTAAAATCATGGTACCTTAATCCCTACTTAAAAATTATCTACAATCCTTGTTCCCATGTAATTCCTGGCCATTCTACCCACTAAAAAGTTTAAAAGTTATAATTATGACACCCATAGCAACGTATGACAACACTAGGTACCCTGTTTTTCTTGGACGTAAGGATAATGTGTACACACATATCACCCACCAGGTGCTGATATTTCTATAATTTAGGTCTAGAACTATATGCCCAATACGCATCAAGGCTTGGAAAGAGGTCTTTCACTTTTCACACATTTAAATGTCAACCTGAATGATCAGTGATAACTTATGGACAAGAAATACAACTAACAAAACACAAGGCGCTGTTAAACATCATGAAATCATTTAAAATGCAATATCTGCGTAGCTGACTTAAAAAAAATCCTTCAAAATGCAATGGCTCCGTAGCTGACTAAAAAAAATCTTTCAAAATGCAATGGCTCTGTAGTTGACTACACACAAAAAAATCCTTCAAAATGCAATGGCTCCGTAGCTGACTACCAAAAAAAAAAAAATCCTTCAAAATGCAATGGCTCCATAGCTGACTACCAAAACAAAAAATCCTTCAAAATGCAATGGCTCCGTAGCTGACTACCAAAAAAAAAAAAAATCCTTCAAAATGCAATGGTTCCGTAGGTGACTACAAAAAAAAATCCTTCAAAATGCAATGGCCCCATAACTGATAAGAAAACCCTAAACATCTGGTAATCTGGTAATCTGGTAATCCTAGTTTCAGCTTCATAGCAAACGGGTCACCCCACACTTGCTCCGCTCCTGTGCCAACGAAAAACAAACGCAGCTCACAGTGTCACGCCATGCACTCAACTCAGAAGCTGGGCGACGAAACTACATCCTTCCAGTCTACAAATGGAGCAAAAATGCAACGGCCACCGTCTGGAAAAATATTTGCCACGGCTTTAAAAAAAAAAAAAAAAAAAAAAAAGGTGGCCGTACCTAGCGTCTATTTTGACCGGAAGAATTATATGAGGGTTAATAAACGGTCACCCCCCAGCAGTACCCTCATTATTAGCTGGGGAAGGGACTTAGGACATTACATCCACCAGCAGGCGTCGCCCCTACAACGACCTGCCTGCCCTCGTTAACGACTGTTCACCCAACAGCCATGCAGTTCTTTGGCACGAAGGAGACACCTTGAACTTGGGTTTCGTACTGCTGACTCCCTACTAAGATGTTATTTTATGTTCTGTTATCACAATTAATGTCACTGCACATTGGGCATACCCATGCGTGCTCAGTTCTCCGAAGCAGCAGCCACTCTAAAGTACTTCTACTAATTGTCCCCATGAGAAGCTGGTTATATTGTCTCCTTTCTCGGCCTCGAAGACGGCAAAGACGTGCATCACCATGCTTAACTCCCATGTCACGCAATCGTGTTAGTGTCAGGGATTCCTCATTCTCCACTAGCCCGGTTCGTACAGCGTTGACTATGTCTGCTCTGTCCATACTTTTTCCTGCAATCATTAGTGCAGTGCTTGCCAGTTGGTCTGCTCGCTCATTTCCCTTCACGCCCGCATGACCCGGTGTGTAGATCCAGGTTACGGAGGTTAAGTGCGATTTCCTGATGCTTTCTATCCATTCAGAGCGCATACTGCCTGTTGCTATCTTCTGAAGCATATTCATTGAGTCTGAGACAATTACTACCTGTGTGGCGGTTTGCTCGGATACCCATGCTAAAGCTCTAGAAGCAGCGGCTATTTCCATTGTCATGCTTGACGTGGTTGTCTGGTAAGCGCCGCTGTCCTCATGTATTGTTTTCCCCTTTCTTTGCGCTGTGTATGCCCATGCTGACCTTGATCCGCGCTTCACAGATCCATCTGTGTAGATGATGGTATCTTCTGGGTCTGAATGCTGATCTATCAGTTCCCTTACTTCTGTGTCTACCGCCGCGGGAATTTGATCCCTGCAGTACCTTCCGAGTGTGATGACAACCTTAGAAATGCCATGCATGTCTACTGGTGTATTCGTCCATTCTTTTCCGTGGCTGATCACGTCTAGGTCACATACCTGCTGGATTAAGTCCTCAGCCTTTGCCATCCAAGAGCGGCCCCTTTTGAGACGCGTTCCTTTTGTGTCCTGAATAGCTTTGTGTAATGGGTGGTTAACATCTGCCGATACCCTCATGTAAGCCTTGACCTGTGCCACTTTGTATCTGCTTGTCATAGTCGGCAGACCCAGGATATAACGCATGGCGTTGCAGGAGGTGTCTTTTGTGCAGCCGAGTATGAGTCTCATGGCCTCATTCTGTACTCGGTCCAGTCTTTCTAGCTGGGTTTTGCTGACAGTGAGGAGGCCGAGACCATAGTCAATGACGCTAAGCACAAGCCCTTGATAGAGAAGGAAAAGTAGACGTTGTTCAATATCAGCTGCTGCTAGCACCTTGAGTGCTGTCAAACCTTTCCTGGCTCTAAGTATGACGTTGTCTACGTGGCATTTGTATGACAAGCATCTGTCAAATGTCATGCCCAGGTATTTCATGGTGTCCGTTCTCTCGATGTCCACACCACAGATGCTTACGACTGGCGTTGGTGTACTCACGATGTGGGTATTCAGAGAGAACCATGTTAAGGAGGCTTTGGACGGGTTCACATGAGCTCTTGATTCCTGGCACCACTCACTAAGTCTGTCTAGTTCGTGTTGTAGTGTGGTTGTAATTTCCTGCCTGTTTTTTACCTCGACGGTACACAAGGATATCATCTGCATACGACATTGTTCTGCCTAGGCCTACGCGTTGTGCACTAGTGACTCCTGCTGTGTACACATTGAAGAGCACAGGCGACAATGGTGATCCCTGGGGCAGACCCATTAGGACGCGTTGAGGTTCGGATGCCCATTCACCACATCGAAACGACACTGTTCTTTCAAATAGCGCTGCTGCGATCCAGTTGACCAAATTTGTTTCTATCTGCATATCCAACAGCAGTCTGATGAGCATGTTGTATGGGACGCTGTTGTACGCATCTTCTAAGTCAATAGCGGCTGCAGCCGTTTCTATTCCCTCCTGTAAACCTTCTTATGTGTCGTAGGCAAATACAGCAGCATTGCACCATGTATCTCTTCCTGGTCGGTAGCCACCTAGTGTAGCGGGGAAATGGCCACCCGACTCCAATATTTGGGTTAACGTTCTGGCAACGATTTTTTCCATGAGTTTTCCTACAGTGTTCTGGAGTGTGATGATTCTGTAGCCATTTATTCTCGTGTGGTCTTTTCCTGGCTTAGGAACCGGTCTGAGGTAGCTGTGGAGCCAGTCATCAGGAATAGTGCCAGTTTTCATGGTGTTGTTAAAAATCGTGGACAGTTCATCAATATCTGTCGCCTCGAGGCTTTTGAAGTGGCTGTATCTAATGCCATCAGGCCCTGGAGCTGTGTCCGGACAGGTCTTCAGTGTTGCTCTAAACATGCCAACGGTGTTGATGAAAAAAAAAATTCCGGACCAGACAAATGCAATAACCACAAAGCAACAACACAAATATTTCAATGCTGAATAAAGGCAAGAAGCCAATAGCAATGCAACCTGTAAAGATGATTACCTGTCAGTCTCATGCTGGTACACTAGACCACTTCTACACAACTGTTAATGTTGAAATATTGACACCTACTAGAGTCTGGTATTTATCTCATTTTCAAGCTACATTTATAGAAACATGCATACCACTTCAGTCACCATGAAAAGCATTATATTTAAGGCGCGATAACTGCCTTTATTTATCATACTAGGTTTACCAGCTTATACACATCTTATTCACTGCAAACAAACTCGGTCATTCCAAAATAGTCTGATTGGGTTGCAGACCACTTCTGCGTTAATTTCAACAATGTTATTGACAGCTAAACATTCTGAAAGCAATGGCAAACTACTAAAAACTGCCTAGAAACACCAAATAGCCACAAATGCTGGGGTTTGCTCTACAAGGTCCTGTAAAGGATGTGCAGTTCTTTTATTTTAGTTTGCCCTATCTCGGGGACTCCGCTAGTTGCTGGGAGTTCCCAGGGAAAGTCCAACAGTACAGGGGTGTTATGATGTGAAATAAACAGACTAACCCTAACAATTATATGGACTTCTATTGGACTTTCCTGTAACTCTCAGATAATACGAGATGGAGTGAACTAAAGTGACACTACCAGATATGCAGCTAACTTTTTTTTTCAATACCACATGGCTCAGCTTATCTTAACAAGCTGTCCTACTGAGAACACAGCGCAAACTTCTGCAACTCTAGTGATGGATCTCATGGATGTCCAAAAGAGGAGATCTTCTGCTTTACAATTCTTGTTTTAACTGTTGATAAAGACAGCATGAAACACTGAATTTCTAGCCATAGTCTGTGTTTAGTAAATTCATTTCTTAAAATGAACTAAACCGTAGTCAGCTACATTTCCACATTCTGATATACCTATTCAGTATGTGTAACGGTCAGCACTTTCACTTTATTTCTTTGGCCTCCATTTTGTACTGGGTCAGCCTTGCCACTTACTTGCCACCATGCAGATACTAACCCAGGACGTTTTAGCTGACAAAGCAAGCATCTAGTCACTGCACTACTACTGCTGTCTAGCACTAGCTTTTCTTTTCTTTAAACACAAATAGCAAGTTCTGCGTTAGAACTAAAAACACATCTCACGTTCGCTGAGAAGATTTGAAACCATGTCAGAAAGTATGAAAAATACTAATGCAAGAGATGCATATCATATATTGATAAGCTGAGCAGTGGGTGGCAGACTGCAGACTGATTAGAATGCTCGGCTTTAACCCAGATTCAAATCTCAGTAAGGTGATGTAAACAAAAAGAACTGGCACAAATAATCCTAACCTGCATAGTTTGTGGTGGCCGCCCTACCTTCTCATGCTAATACCCACTTTTTTCATCCACCCCAGCAAGTGGTCATCACAGACAATGAAGATGGGGATCAAAGCAAGCTTCAGGCTTCAGAAATTAGATATCTGAGAAACGTGTTCCAAGTGACAAGAAGGGACAAAGGTCGCAGTCAGACAATATGTCAAGATCTTGATACCCAGCCCTTACAAATCTGAGTGGATCAGTCACAGTTATGATGGTTTGGACAAGTGTGCAGAATGGGAAAAAATCGTCCAGCATGGCAGGCAAGGGAGGCTGGAAAGACAACATCTGAGAGTCTCTAACTGATAGAGAACTAGAATGAAACAAAGCCAGAAAGAAAACTGCTGACGGAGAAGTCTGACAATCTTCTGGCAAACACCTCTACACCCCAAGGTGGAAGAGGGGTGACTGAGTAAGTAAGTAAGTAAAGACAGGTGTAAATTAGTAAAAAGGGTAAAAGTCACAAATTTAGTAGATAAAAGCAAATATTTCAGCCCTTTGACTAAATGTGAAGCTTTTTACAGCTTTCTGCTCTGTTGTGTGCTTGTAATTCTGTGATAGACCTGTGTATATTACTTGGTCTCTCCTGTCCATCCTAATTTCGTCTTCTTGAAGTTTGCTTTAAAAAAAGTACGCAAAACTACCTCCACAAAAATTTTGTTAAATAAGATTGCCAAAAATTGTAGTTAAAAACAAAAATGACATAAAATGTTGTTAGGTGAATATCCATAAGAAAAGTCATATAATACAGGTGAGTGTTTTAGTTTTAATGAAATCTTATTGTTTCCATCTGGGAAAAAAAATAATTATTGGTTTGGTAGCATAAAATCATGAAATTATTAATTAACACTAATTTATTAGTAATTATATAAATATATAAGCAGCAAATTTTACTAGGTAAAGCTGGGTTTCTGTAAGTTTTCAGATAATATATTAAATAAATATATACCCAATTTAAAAATAGGCTGCACTTACACGTTCACCAGAGAAAAAAGGGTAAATTATGTAGGTATATAAAACATCAAGACAGAAAGTGAGAAAGGAAAAATAATAACTATAACTGATGACTGGGTTTTTTAATAATAAATAAATATCATTAATTTTCAATGAATATTTAACTAACAAAACATAAATGCATTAATGTCATAGAGGGATTCCAGCGGCTATCCATTATTATATACTGAAAGAATCAATCTAAAACTGTAAAATGACAATCTAGCGTTAAATACTCAAAACTCTTTAAGTGAGATACGTCAAACATACCTGATTTCAGGTCATCAACACCACCATCCTGTGAAACAAAGAAATTGTGAGGTTTAAATTTCTGTCAAAAAACGTGTTGAATTCAATTAAATTAATCATATTCAGGTGCAAGGAACCTCATTTCAGCAGTATTTCATTAAGGTATAATTATATTAATTACTACAACGCTAAAGAAAACCGCCATGAGTCGAAGAGAAAAGGTAAACGACACCAAACCATGTGGGGGAAAGCGAACGTAGTTGTTGTGTTGGAACTTAGAAAATTTTCAGCCATCTTTGGGACTTAGTCGCAAAACGCTTGCCAACCGTCGCACGTTTCACCCAAGCGAACCGCTAGATTTCATGTACAAAAGATTAACAAATACTCATAAAATGAAATTAAGGAATTAATTTACTTACAAAAGACGGCTGGGATGACTGATCCTCGTCAACAGAAGACATTTTAGTGAAATTGTGACTGGAGTTTGTCAGAGTGACGATGGCGGACACAGACTCGACTCAACGGCTAAGTCCTTGTTGGATGTCACTGGGCATGCGCAGTAAAAGGAGATAGTCTCCAGCGAAGATTGGGCTCGGTTGGATGAAAAATGTCTACTTGTGTACGAGAGGTGAACAGGTTGTTTTATGGGGCACCTCATCTCGTACGTTCAGAAGTTGCTGGGCTAAGTTTAAGGAAACATATCTACTTGTCTACGAGAGGTGAACAGGTTGTTTTATGGGGCACCTCATCTCGTACGTTCAGAAGTTGCTGGGCTAAGTTTAAGGAAACATCTACTTGTCTACGAGAGGTGCTCAAGTTGCTTCATGGGGAACCTCATCTCGTACGTTCAGAAGTTGCTGGGCTAAGTTTAATGAAACATATCTACTTGTCTACGAGAGGTGCACATGTAGTTTTTTAATACGGCACCTTAACTCGTACGTACAGACGTTGTTGGGCTAAACTAAATTAAACATATCTACTTGTGTACGAGAGGTTTTTGGTGCACATGTTGTTTTATGGGGCACCTCATCCCGTAGGTATAGAAGTTGTTGGGAGCTAAGTTGAAGGAAACATATCTACTTGTGTACGAGAGGCTTTGGGGCACATGTTTTTGTATTGGGCACGTTATCCCGTGCGTACAAAAGTTGTTGGTGGCTAAGTAGTAGGAATAATATCTGCTTGACTACGAGAGCTTGTTGGTGTACAGGTTGTTTTATAGGGCACATCATCCAGTATATACAGAAGTTGTTGTAGGCTAAGTTGTAGGAATGCTAACTACTTTTGTACGAGAGGTGGTACACAGTTTATTTCATGGAGCACCTCATCTCATAGGGTAGAGTTGTCTCGGCCCGGTTGTATGCAAAATATCTACTTATGTACGAGAAGTAGTGCAAAGGTTATTTCATGGGGTACCTCATATTATGTGTTCAGTTTATTGGGCTTGATTGTATGAAAAATAACTGCTTGTGTACGAGAGGTAGTGCAAATGTTGCTTCGTGAGGCACTTCATACCATATGTACAGTTTACTGGGCTAAGCTTAAAAAAAATATCTACTCGTGTACGACATCGGACAGCTTGTTTAACGAAGACACCTCATCACACGCGTACAGAGTTTGATGGGCTCGTTTGTGTGAAGAATATCTACTTTAGCACTATTGGCACATGTTTCACGAGAACACATCACTATGTGCGCACAGTCTGTTAGCAGCTGTTACCAACAATAGCTAAGCGTATATGAGAGTACATATGTTGTATGAGGGAGCACCAGCGACCTACCTACAGTTTGACGGGCTCGACGAAAAACTTCTTATGTACGGGTATACTTGTGTATAACTTGGACTGTTGGTAAATTAATAAAAAAACTTTTTTGGAAGCTGCGGAGACATAGTTTTACGGACGATTGGTGAGAATACACTGGACAGACAAAAAGAACAATGAAGATGTCTTGGAAGGAGACTGACTCACGAAGATTGCCCACATCAGAAAGAGGCAATCTACATTATTTAATCATGTGATTAGAAGTAGAAAACTGAAGTACATCGTCACAGTAGGAAAGCTGGAGGGGAGGAGAGGCAGAGGGAGACCGAAAGAATAGGTGCTAGACAGTTTGACATCATGACATGGAGGATCTTCTGTGTCAGAGTTGATTTAAAGTACACGAGACAGAAGATTGTGGAGTGACATGACTACCAACGCCTCACGGCATGAACTTGAAGAATTAGATACTTGTGAATACATAAGATAAGTGATGTCACGCGTTTTTGTTTGTAAGTGTATCACTGTCCGTCTGTATCAAATACTGATGAAGGTTTTCTAGCCACAACGTTCAGTTTGTCGTTCCTGGCTGTGGTTCTGTGAAGCTGACTAGTTGTACTTCACGTTTGGAATAATCTGTGTTCATTGCATATGTATACGAGGGTTTTACGTGGGTTTTTTTTCTTCCCCAAAGAGCACTTCATCCGGTACCAAACGTCGCCCGAATATGGGACACAAGTTTTGGTTATTTTAAAACCCCACTCCGGTTGTTGTTGGGAGCCCTAATATAACCTAAAGGTTGAACGGGGCTTCTGAAACTTGTGAAAAAAATGTTCTTCATTTTATAAAAGGCAGTTTCTGTCTTTCCTATTCTGTTCTTCGTCTCTGTGATACATCTTCTATCGGATATTATCCATGTGCCTGATACTTACATTTCTGTACTTGTCTTAAAATAACGCATTGGACCTTTATGATACATTTTGGCATTATTCTTTCCTTGGAAATCACCATTACTTCCGACTCCCCAGGATTCAGACTGAGGCACTGGTCTTCTGCCTGTTACAAATGAACGCACCCATTTGTGGTTGTTGCGTGGTTTACTTGGGCAATTTTGAGATCTCTGTGACTGTTGTTAGTTCATTTACCTCGAGCTCTAAAATTCATTTGTCTTATTGCAGGAAGACCACTATGGTCACGTGCGGAATATTTTCACATTTCGGAACTATCCAAAATCAAAAAGTGTTTTCCGTACTTTCTTTGGCAAAGTAAAATATTCAACATTTTAAAACTATAAATTGTGGTCCAAAGGACGTTGTGTAGAAAAGCTCGCTCTCCTACGAAATACGCCTTGCCTAATCAGAGGGAGATGAAACCAAGAGAAAACACCAAGAAAGAAAAGGAAAGAAATACACAGCTAACAACAGGGTAGAGTACGAGCGGTCTGACTCGAAAGGAAGCATTAAGCACTGAGACGGCGCAAATTCTAGAACTTTAGTCTCGAAAGTGACGCAAATAACCCAGACCACAAATATAGACGAAGACTGTTAGCAGTCTCGGCTAGCTAGCAGCAGTCTGAAAGTAGTCAAACTTTTTATTTTTAAAGGAATCAGAAATTCATTAGTTTGTTTTACGAACTGCCTCGTTCGGTTCAGTTTTTATGATATTCCGGGAAACATCAGTGGAGCTGTGGAGCTCGTGCTTGTTTTGCAAGGCTGTCAGCAGACGAAGGACAGTTCTTTGGGGAGAGACCAACGCATATGGGGTAATGTAGTGAATCGATCATATTGACGTGAAACCTTTCAAATACCGCAGCTTTCTTGTCGGTACGAAGCTCATACGCTTGTCAATATCGACACAAAGTATGTCTACCAATAAAACACATGCTGCAAAATTCGAAGCTATTATGCCAGCTTCATTAAACTGTGTCTGCAAACCCCAAACCAAAAACTATGATACACGAGACAGGAGACGAAGAGAAAAAAACGAGTCTTCTCAGTCAGTCGTTTCTGACGTCAACGTTCTGCAAAGAAAACGCCATATGATCACTGTTATATAATTCCTTTTTCTAAACGGACTGTGCCTGTAGTACCTTTATCTTGGTCTTAGGTATGTGGGTGTAGTTGGCAACGACAGAGTTGACAGATGAGCCGGTTCTGCGTTAGTTGCAGATATCCAGCATGTGGATCCCTCTGTCATTGTTACTTAGAAAGATACGACAATGGGAGGTTTTAGAAACATCGTGTCACCATCATAACTTAGAATGCGAGAATTGGAAGTAACGATCGACACAGCCAATATGAGAGGCAGACTGGACGTACAAAAAGTCTTGTTACCTAGCATAGGACTTGTTACTGCTTACCGCGGGACTGTGGTGGATATGTTGAAGGGAGAGACTGAGCACCTATAGTGTGTGGTGTGCCTCAAAGAAAACCCACTCATATGACCGCTGTGACTCCAGCTTTCTGTCCTGACTGACTTGCTATCCCACCAGGACATCACAAAAGCGATTAACACCCGATGACACAAAGTGCCACCATGTGGATGAGGATCGCCGTGGAGAGGTCCCAGAAACCGCGTTCAGACAATTGGCCATATTTATGGCCTGCCTATATTGCGGCCCCTGGCAAAAGCCAGGGTGGGGCTTCAAATAACAAAAAATTTCATTCTAAAAAGAACGAAACTGGATGCACGAATGTTTCTTTCCTCCTTTGACCCGGCTCTTATACCGGATGTCGGCGTCTGTGGCTTAGGCGTTGCGAACGAGCTTCGTAATGCTTTGGTGCCGGGTTCGCTCCCAGCTGCGAACGGTTTATCTTGCGTTGGTTTCGACAGTGGTACCGAGAGCTAACCGTTTAGTTAGCAAGGGCAAACTACTGTACGTAAAATTTGCCTTAAAAAAAAACACACAACAGCCAAAAAATGCTGAGGTAGGTTCTGCAACGTCCTGTAAATGATAAGCAACTACCTTTTTGTTTTATATCAAATACTTATTCATTATGGAACGCATTAAAAAATTTTTGTTGAACCCTGAGAGATTACTATCTGAATGGCGGCACTTTGTGTCACAGGCGTTAAGCGCTTGTAGGGCAGGTCCTGGTACGGTTAAACCTACTCACTCTCATATCGGCCTTTTCAACACTCAACCGCACAACACAGCATACACATAACAAGTTTCGTCTTTCATTAATGTATGATTAGCTATAATATAGGGGTGAATGAATGAATGAATTTCTACCCCACCAGGACATCACACAAGCGATAAACACCCGATGACACAAAGTGCCACCATGTGGATGAGGATCACCGTGGAGAGGTCCCAGAAACCGCGTTCAGACAATTGGCCACATTTATGGCCTGCCTATATTGCGGCCCCTGGCAAAAGCCAGAGTGGGGCTTCAAATAACAAAAAATTACGTCCTAAAAAGGACGTAAGGATAAGAAAGCAACAATATAGGGGTTCGTCGCTCTCAAAGTAGTAGTAGTAGTAGTAGATTTTTACCCCACCAGGACATCACACAAGCGATAAACACCCGATGACACAAAGTGCCACTATGCGGATGAGGATCACCGTGGAGAGGTCCCAGAAACCGCGTTCAGACAATTGGCCATATTTATGGCCTGCCTTTATTGCGGCCCCTGGCAAAAGCCAGAATAGGGCTTCAAATAACAAAAAATTACGTCCTAAAAAGGACGTAAGGATAAGAA